ACATCTGGAGGGCAAGGGATTGCTCTGTCTATACACACACACACACACACACACACACACACACACAGAGTTTTTTCTTCTGAAACTGACTTTCTTTGTGGATTGCACAACCTCACAAAGATTAAAAAAATAATAATACTGGGTGCCCAAGCCAGTTCAAGCTAAGTGGCTGCTGCCACAGTATACCTGTACACTTACATGTTTAATGGATAAGAATATAGCACTTTGTATAAGCATGTGCTGGAACAGAGAGGTTTCTTCTGGACCAAGACTCTTATCATATGTGGCATGAAGCAGCAGACTGCAAAAAAAAAGGAGAGCTCTCTGCATACTTTTATAATAAGCTCTTTGTTAAAGAGTTATTTTTAACCTGAACTTCTGTGGTAAAGTTAACCATAATAAACTCCACCACTGAACAGCTTACTCAGTCCATGCTGATATTCCAGCTTGGTGACTTGGAATCACTGGGGCTGTGATTACTTGATCAGACCTTTTTATTTAGGCATTCATGGAGGAACAGTTTAAGTTTAGTTTTTAGTCCAGTAAGAATCCTGCAGTTGCATATTCATAGAATAATAGAATCATAGAATAGTGGAGTTGGAAGGAGCCATGAAGACCATCAGGTACCAACCCCCTGCTTTTGCAGGTCACCACTTTATACCATCCCACTCTGATGACAGTCCAGTTTTGCCTTGAATGTATCTAGTGTGGAAGAGCCCACTAATATAAAAATGCAGCTAGAAATCAAGTACAGAGTTGCAAAAGTTACAAGTGTGGTGTGGTGTTTGGAGTGTGACCCAGGGACTCAGGTGATCTAGATTCTAGTTCCTACTCAGCCATGAAACTTACTGGGTGACTTTGGACCAGTCACTCACTCTCAGCCTAACTACCCTCAGAGGATGATTATTGTGAGGATAAAATGGAGCTATGTAAGCTACCTTGAATTCTTCACAGGAGGAAAAAATGGGATATAAATGCAAGACGATGATGATAAGAATCAGCAGCAGCCCAGTACAGAGTTGCACTCAGCTCTTCACCTAGATTAGTGTGGAGGGAACTGAGAATGATGTGGTAGGAAGACTATTTTGGGGGGATTCAAATTTCCTCTGATTAAAAATTGGATGTAATTACTTAAGGTGAAGATGTTTATTAATTGCTTTTCAATCAGTTATCTCTGCAATTTCCAACTGGCTATGTTCTTGCACATCTTTTTGATTTGATCCATATATACTGTTTCTTGTTGGTTGATCTGCAGTTGAAACTTAGAGGATGTATGTAAAAGCCAGAGACACTAATATACATAGTCTTACATTCCTGTTACCTTTGCCAAGGGAGCTGAAGTATTCAGCAAAAGTTAGCAAAATAACAGTTGCTCATTTTACTGTCAAGAAGAGTTGCTTTTCTCTCACACACATTTGCATACATATTTTCCTTACTACACCACACTACACTACCACATTATTAAATTATAGATGTTCTTACATAAAGCAGTAAGAAAAACATTTTCCAAACAAAATAGCAGCCAATGATAGACTAGTAAAGCAAGGGATGCTAGATGAACACTTACCTGGGGAGCCTGAGATTCCTGACATGATGTTAGGCACAAGAAAAGAAACATGCTGCATTGCAAACCAGAAATCATAGTACTGTTATTCCAAGACAGAAATCCCTCGACTTGGTGGCGTGCTTGGCTGAGTAGTTTCTCAGCACTCAAGTTGCCCTGGCTGCTAATCAGTGTGGAAAGACTCAGCAGCAGAGCTCCCTTGCTCAGATCAGAAATGACTGCAGCAGTGCACAGCAGGTTTCCTGAGGAGTAAAACTTCTCATTGGTAGACTGCCCATGCTGAAAGCGTGCTCCCTTGTAGGAACTGTTTCCCAACACCCCCGCTCCATTTTACAAACTAACACCTACAACTGTTGACTCTTCCTGGAAAGCTGACTTGCATATTTCTGCTGCTTAGTGAAGACTCACGCAAGGAAAGGGTTTTGCCCTACTCTCTGTTTTAAGAAACAGCATGTCCACCAGGCATTTTTTTAAAAAAGAAACTGGCCAATAATTATGAATATTATATAGATTTAGCAGAACCTGCCCTATCAACCCAGGACTTGCAATAGGTCTGAGGAGTCCATGGCCGTTCAGATATTGTTGGACTACAACTATTATCATCCTCATCTACTGAGTCATGCTGGCTGGGGTTGGTAATAAAGTTAACACACTGACATCTGGAGGACAACAGGGTCCCCAACCCTGACTCACAGTACACATGCATTCACTTAAAAAAATGTGGAGATTCTTCCTTGTATTTGTTTTGCCCGGTCAGAAGGAAAAACTGCAAACACTTAGTGTTTTTATACAATTCCACATAATTAGTGCAGCCATCTTCATAACCTTGTAAGTTAGGACAATATAACTATCTTTATTGCTATTTGTGGTTGCAGTGGAATGACTTAGCACTAAATTAGGTTGCACTATAGGTTGTACCTGATGTTAACCCATTTTATCACCAGTTCCTTTCAATGGGTCTATTTGAAGTAGAACTAATATTGTATGCAGCCTTTCCTATATTATTCTTGCCTTTGCAATAATTTTTATATGTGCTTAAGAGAGTTATCATATTGCCCTTAGACGGTGTCTAGATAGACATTAGATTGTTTGGATTCCCAGCTCCAACGTTGGAAAATTGCTCCAGTGTCAAATCAGGGGATCCACACTCAGATCACGTGCTCTGTTGGTGCAGAAAGAACTATGCCAGCTGTTTCTTTGAGGTTGCAAAAGTGTCCTTGGAGATGGGTTGTAGTGGGTATTCCATGAGGCAGGGAGAGAGACATCACATCTGGCTGCTCCTTAGCCTCCTTTCCTCCCCCTTCAGCATGCCATGGTTAGACAGCCAGAATAGTCCATCTAGCTGTTTTGAAGAATGGAAGAAGCACAGAAATGGCCTTTACTTCTGCATCCCTCCTGCTGTGTGAGGGATATCTCTAAGCTCAGAGGGTTACAGGAATCTTCATAGGATTGTACTCTAACTCACCCAACAACTCTAAAAATATACACAAATGTGCTTTACTACCCTAAACCAGTGTTTCAGGGTTTGGTAAATTGCTCCACAATCTCAAATTTAACTATAGTATCCCACAAAGTGTGTTTTAAGCTCAGATTAGAAATATTAGGCAAAACTTTATTATGACTAATGACCTACATGTTGCTGCTGCTGCTGTTGTTGAGTGTGGTGCTTTTCTAATCCCATCATAACTCTATAACTCATGTGATAAATGTTCCCCCAATGAAATTTCATGGCTTGTACCAACCTACTGACAACCAGACTACCTGAGCCTACTTCCCTATGTCAATTTTCTTTTAAAAAATCCATGAACATCTGTGAACGGTTGAACATCTTAGCATATTGCTTGTGTTTGGAATATAAAACATCCCACTGGCAAACTTTGGGATATTTTATGCCCCAATTGACTTTTTGCTTTCAAAAAATAAAATAGCAAGTGGTAAGATGCAGACATTTGGGGGCTTTGTGTAGGTAACATTACCAAACATTATCCTGGGAGGACTGTGTTGTAGGTCTACTTCTGTGTAAATTCTGCAATATAGAATGTACCTGGAGTAAGTTTGTCACTCTGCCTTATTGGACAAGAGTGGCCACTTTTATTTTGGAGGAAAAGTGGCCATTCAGGGTTTGTTCCCATCAACTAACTTTGGTGGTATGTGCAAAAGACCTTCCCCGGCTAAACCATGTGGATGATCAGGATAAGACTGGAGGGGACACCTTATTAAGTATCCTATTTATGGGTTTAAAGGTGATGACTCAGGTTTTTTAAAATGTATTTACTTACAATATTTTTACCCCATCCTCAACAAACGTCTCAGGATGGCTTCCATATAAGGGTTTTATCATGTAAGCACCATGCCTTAGTCATTGTATTTTATATAGGTACAGATAATGTCATCTTCAGCTTGTGACCCTCAGAGTGGTTTTTCTATCAGTTCTGCCTTTTCTCCTTCTGCAAAAAAAGTGATGCATGATAAATTTTGCTGGAAGCCATCTGTCTGGAAACCCTATACCACCAGCAGCTTGTGAATTTAGTATAAAAGAACAATCATGCGGTTCATGGAACTAGCTCTACAAATGGGTTAAGACTGATTTTTCCTGTAAAAAACTAACACACACCCTATATATTAGGTAGGATACAAATGTGACCAGCGGGACTGGAAGAGCAGTATGGGGTGTTCCCGTTCAGGGTTTCAGTTGTGCCCTTTTCCCAAAGTCTCTTTTCCCTTCCTGCAAGAGTCAGCCAGCATTCTGTGCCCACTGAGCGTGCACAATCTTAACTGGGCCATTTTGGAGGCCCCCCTAAGCCATGTTTTAATTCCTATGAAAACCTTGAGCTCCCTGCAAGCCTGCTGCTCCTTCCCTTGTCTTCTGCATGGAAAGTACTACAGGCAGTCCACTAGTTACAAACATCCAAGTGACAAACAACCTGTACTTATGAAGGAACTGCCCTGAAGCCTATTGATTTTTTTAAAATTACAGCTGGAAATTATCATTGCCAGAAAGAGAGAGAGGAGGTGAAAGGGGAGGCCACCAAAGCATGCCTTCCTTCACTGCTCATCCAGAGAGGGAAATCTCTCCAGTATTTCCTTTCTGCAAAGAAGAGGCACTTGTGAGTTGGGGGAGGGAAGGTAGAGATAGTTACAGTTTTTCCACTTTCAAGGGTGTTCTATGCCCCTTGCCACCACAAATGCAGAGGGTCGACTACATGATCTGACTTACATACAAATTCGACTTAAAGATGAATTTCCATTTTCTCAGGAATGGAACTTGTTTGTAACTCAAGGACTGCCTGTATTTTGGTTACATTAGGAACTTTGATTGAAGAATGAATTCACCTGTAACACATCAAATAGAATGAGGTAGTAGACATGTGATGATTGGATTTTGGCCTGTGCTGCAAGAGGGGTATACAGCCTCACTGTTGGCATTGATGGTCCTTGTTAAAATAAAGTGTGATCAATAGCTGTGTTGGAAAAGTTAATGTATCAGCTCAGGACCTCCAAAGAACAGAATGAAGCAAAGTTACTCCATAGAACATGGGTGAAGAAACACTTTTTCTGCCATAGGAACCATTCTTTCAGGAGTCATTTGTTTGGAGCTGCATTCTAATAGTGGGTACTGCTGAAGCTAGCAATGGCTGGAACCAGAATGAAGAGTGGGTGGAGCCATTCCTTTTCCAGTTCTCTTTCTCACATCTTCCACCCCACCAGAGTGTCTGCACTAATTGCTTGCAGGGGGTTTTGGAAATTAGGGCAAGATCAACATGTTACTGACCCTTATTGTACAGCACAGTATTGTTTTATTCAACATATTAACAACTGCATCTCTCAAATGACCCTTCTGGAATGACTTGCTGGGATAACTCACACAGCAGTTGTATTCTATACTCAAGTGCCCAACATTCAACACTTCTATTTTTATTTAAATACATGAATCGTACTTTGCTTACCTTGACTGAAAAGTCTTATTGTGGATTGGGTCTTTTTTCCTCTTCTTGTATTCATGCTTTCTTTTCAATATCAGTAAGTCCAAAAGGAGTTTTTCCTGCCCATTCAAATGATCAGTAGAAAATGGGCATGTGTGCCTTTTACTCTAGGACATACTTAGGGTACAAAAAAGTACATTCTTAGAAAATTCATCAACCTACATCTTTAATGGAAGCTATCAGATTCATGTTGAACAGAAATGCTTGTCTTAACTGGCACTATTTTTGGGAGATAAGACTGTTATATGGTAAAATTCTGGATTTCTCTGTTGTTTTTTATCTTAAGGTGGAGTGTATAGCAGAGGTGGGCTACACGTGGCCTTCCGGGTGATTTTACCTACAGCACCTATCATCCCTCACTATTAACTATACTAGCTGATGGGAGTTATTGGCCAAAACTTTGGGGACAGGGGAATGGAATCTAAAAGAACTGGATTGTAGGTACACACTAAGGTTAGGAATTAAATCTCTGGTTCCAAGGTGGATGAACCATTGAACTCTGCAGGTGTGGCTGGGCAGAGCTAGGGAAATGGAGGGAAAGTGAGAAAATTGACCCACTTGAACCCCTAACAAGTTTTATCCTTGTACTATTAAGTGAAAAGGCTATCTTTTTGTGTGTACACAAATGCACACTTTCCCTGTTCATTCAAACTGAGAAACAAGTTATGAAGGAAAAAGCTAGTGATCTGAACAAAGAGGAAAAGTTACATTCGGAGACTTTTGGTGAGCTTGAACATCCCTGGTTCTCCCATCCCTGTTTAACAGGGGAAGCTCATGATTCTTATCCATTACAACTGTAGGAGCTATTTATGGTACTGTATGGTGGTGGATCTATTTTGGAATTGGACTTGACCTAGCCCTGAGCCCTTGGGTCCCACAGACCATGGCAGAGGAGTGTGTCAAGAGGCAGAGGCTCTCTGCAAACCACCAAAGTCGTGATCCAGGCGAGCTGAGGGGGGATATGATGCAACATGTTATGGGTCCTCATTTGTTTCATCTGCAGCTCAAAGCAACATTTCTGAGTGCTGATCATTTGCTGAGGTAAAATGCTAGAGAAGTCTGAAAATACTAGATCTTGTTGTCCAGAGTTTAGCAGCACAAATTTGTCAGGGGACGGAGAAAAACACATTAAAATATTAAATAGCAAGCAAAACTGATGACTCTTATGTTAGCGGGGGTTCCTTACCTGTTGTAGCTTTTAGTCAGAGTTGTATAGGAGCTATCCATGGTGCTCAAGTGTATTCCCAAATTAGATTCACCACTGCAGATCACCATAAATAGCTCCCAAGACTGTAATGGATAAGGAGCCCCACTGAGATTAGAGTCACCAGTTTCCCCTGTTAAAGCAAGCAAAGGGAGGACCAGGGATGTCTGAGGTCTCTGAACTTAACTTTTCATCTTTGTTCAAATCACTAGTTTTTCCCCCTTTGCAGCATGTTTTTCAGTTTGACTAAACAGGAAAATTGTGCATTCGTGTGCACATTTTTCAAGCTCATTGACTGAAGTGTTCAAACCTGCATTTCAAACTGTGCATTTTTTTTAAAGTATTTTTAACACAATCACAACTTCTGGATATTTTTCCCATATAGATATTTTTCCAAAGAATGTGCTCCCATTCACAGCTGAGATTACCAACCTGACTGGTTCAGATGATCTGTGAACTGAACTGGAATGGAATACCCTGGACAGACAGAAAGATGAACAAGTGGTTCCTAGATCAAAGCAAGCCAGAATTTTCCTTAGAAGCAAAAATGACAGAGCTGAGGCTGTTATATTTGGGCACATCAAGACTCACTGGAGAAAGTTGAGGGCAGAGAAGAAAGGGAAGACCACGTAGGAGGTGGATTGACTCCATAAAGGAAGCCATAGCTTCCTTTGCATAGAATTTGCATAGAGCATAGAATTTGCAAGAGCTGAGCAGAGTTGTCAAGGACAGGACTTTTTAGAGGGCATATACTCATAAGTATGCCATAAGTCAGAGATGACTTGAGGTCCTGTAACAATCCAACCTACTAATTTTTCTAGGGCTCTAGCACCACCTGCTGTAGACTTGATTGCAACCATCAATACTTACAGCTCACTTCAGAACAAAAATTCCCAACTTCGAGTATAAATCAATTACAATCCCTTAAACAAACAAGAGCAGAGAAGGGAAAAAAACTATGGCAAGCCAAAAATAGCTGGACATTGCAGTGGGGAGGGGGAGAGAGGGAGCAGACAATTCATAGTGAGCCTGATCATCGGTCACGCACACCACAGGATGCTCACAGAACCAACCCACTGTGGCTTATTGCCAGGGTGGATCGGCATAATAGACAAACACATTGACTGCCTTAGTCTCTGGGTTATAAATCCTGCACTCACCTACCTCACCTTGGTATGTCGCTGCCTTCTGAATGAAATAGATGTTCTCACAGTGGAAGAAGGAGGAAACCAGATAATGGGTGATTTGAGCTGACCAATTGTTCTGTGGCAGAGGATGCTGCAGGTGATGGGGGCCTTGCCTTCTTCCCCTCTGCGCTTTTATTTCCTGTAGAGACTGTGTATGCTAGTGGCAACAAGAAGGCCTCTGCCCACATTCATATTTATTTCTTTACCATCCAATAGGTAAAGCTGTCTGGGCCATGCACAACAATTGATGAAGTGGAAAAGAAAGATCTTGCATGCAGACACAGCAGAATTTGAACTCCAACTGTGAGACTCTTGTAAAGCATTGTTACCAGGCTGGACAGTTATCTGGTGTGAAAAAGAGTGGACATGCATTGTCAAAGAAAAAAATAAAGAGGACAGACACAGTTGCATGAGAATTATATATGCTAATTTGAATGTGTAGATGCAAGTTTAGAAATAATGACGATAATTTAAATGGAAATATGGAGGAAGACAGTGACCAGGTGGCTTGTGTGCCTGCTCATCTGCTGCCAAAGTATGATGAGTTGATGGACAACCTTGAGGCCCCTGATCACCCAAATTCTTAGGGTTCTTTATCTTTAAATTTGACTTGAACTGTTGGAGTCTTTCAGAGTGAAGATACCTTCAAACAGATGACTGTTTAATGACTCCTGGGCATTAAAACTGTTGTGCATTCCATCAAATTAAGTCTCTTTCTAGAGACTGCAAGGGAGACAATGGTCAGATCCCAACAAGTGTAAAAGTTGAGTTTCCATATTTAAAATCTAGCATTCTAGCTATTACATCATACAACCAGAAGATGGTGCTCATCCATTGCACTCAATCAGGGAGTTACTGTTTTGAGGCTCAGGACAGCATTCCCTATGCTTCAGTGCTCCTTTTGAACATCTGACACAGGATGCAGAAGATGCACCTGATCGCTTTGTTCTGTCTACAGTTCCTGGTTTCAGCCCCAGGCAGTTCAAGCACCACATTCTAGTACTCCAAGGCGGTCTCCATCTGGAGGCATGGGTTCAAATCCCACTCCTGGCATCCTTTTCTCTGGCACAGAGGTGTTGGTTTCCAGTAATTTTAGCCACAGAATTACTGCTGCTTCCATGGTCAGGGTGGCCGAGCGGTCCAAGGCGCTGCGTTCAGGTCGCAGTCTCCATCTGGAGGCGTGGGTTCAAATCCCACCCCTGACATGCTTTTCCTTGATGCAAAGGTGTGGGTTTGCAGGAATTTTAGTAGTGCCTTTAGTGCTGCTTCCACGTGCTTTTCAGGGTGGAAAAAGCAGCACTTTTACTCATGTTTTAGCAGCTTTGCATGTGCCCATCAGGCTTGCCAAATCACTGTTTTCAGACCACAATCTCTGTCTGAAGGCATGGGCTCAAATCACACTCCTGACATCCTTTGCCTGTTCAAGAGATGTGAATGTGTAGGACTATAAGTATCCATTTGTTTGTTCATTCATTGCATTTCTATACTGCCCCACTTGACGGCAAAAGGAGAAGGGGACGGCAGAGGTTGAGGTGGCTAGATGGGGTCACTAGGGCGGTGGGTGTGGGCTTGGGTGAACTCCGAGGGATAGTGGAGGACAGGAGAACCTGGAGGAATTATGTCCATGGAATTTTGATGGGTCAGGCATGATTTTCCGACTCAACAAAAACAAAAACTTACTGCCCCACTAGCCCAATTGCTCTCTAGGCAGTTTACAACATTGAAACCCAAATACAAAGACTAAAATACCTAATTAAAACACAAAACACTAAAAGAACCCTTCAAAATTACAAACAGCAGTAACTCCATATAACCCCACAATGTAGCAGCAGCAATACAATATTAAAATATTAAAATTTCCCACTATTAATTTTTAAAATATCTGGTGAATAAAAATGTTTTCCCCTGGTGCCAAAGGGTAATAAAGATTGTGGCAGGCATATCTCTTTGGGGAGCATGTTCCAGAGATGGGGTGCCATGACTGAAAAGATCCTTCTTCTGTTTACCACCCCACTTACTTCTTTAGGGGGGTCCCTGAGAAAGGCCTCTGTAGTTGATCTTAATGAATGTACAGGAACATATGGGAGCATGTACTCCTTCTGTTGTTTTGAGGTGTGCATGTCCTTGTCAGGGTAGCCAAGCATTCAAAGGTCAGGGCCACTGTCTCTGTCTAGAGGTGCTAGTAGAAATGTTAGCTGTTGGTCCCATGTGCTTGGAAAGAGGGCTGAGAAGTGTAAGGATCTGAGTTAAGCTTTCTATTGCCCTGGTGTGAATACATGAAACTGTAGGGATTTTAGCCCTGGGGCTAGTCTCTTCATGTACTTTTCCAGTAGGTCATGTGGTCCAAGCTACTGTGTTAAATTTGTGGTCTCCAACTGGAGCTGTGGGTTTGAGTCCCACCACTGATGTGAATACATGGATTTGCAGGGATTTTAAACATCAGAGCTAACATTACTTCCATGTGCTTGTCAGGGTGGCCGAGCGGTCCAAGGCGCTGCGTTTAGGTCGCAGTCTCCATCTGGAGGCGTGGGTTCAAATCCCACCCCTGACATGTTTTTCTCTGGCACAGAAGGTGTTGGTTTGCAGGAATTTTAGCCACAGGATTACTGCTGCTTCCATGGACAGGGTGGCCAAGCGGTCCAAGGTGCTGCGTTCAGGTCACAGTCTCCATCTGGAGGCGTGGGTTCAAATCCCACCCCTGACATGTTTTTCCTTGATGCAAAGGTGTGGGTTTGCAAGAATTTTAGTAGTGCCATTAGTGCCGTTCCCCTGTGTTTGTCAGGGTGGCCAAGCAGTCAGAGGCACTGCGCTAAGCTCACAGTCCCCATCTGGAGGTGTGGGTTCAAATCCTACCCCAACATTCTTTTCACTGATGTTACAGTTTGTGAAAATGTTAGCAGTGCGGCTCATGTTCCTTCAGTGTTCTTGTTTGGGTAGCTCTATGGGTAACAGAGTTGTGTTAATTTTGTAGACTTTCCTGGAGACATAGGTTTGAATTTCATTTCTGTGGTATTATTTATTTATTTATTTAGGAAACTTCTATGCCACCCCATTCGCCGAAGCCTTGGGGCGGCTCACAACAATAAATAACAACAATAAATAATAACAATATAAAAACAATATAATTGGAGCCGTCCTGGCCAAAGATGTAAAATCAATAAATAATATTAACAATTAAAATGACGTTTAAATAAAAAGGTCTTCGCCTGGCGCCGAAAAACGAATAATGACAGCGCCAGGTGGACCTCTCTGGGGAGTTCATTCCATAGATTGGGCGCCACCGCAGAGAAAGCCTTCCTCTGGGTACTTACCCTCCTAATATCCTTTACGGAGGGTTCCCGGAGAAGGGCCTCTCCCACTGATCTCAATGAGGCCATGAGGTTTGCAAGAGTTTGTGCCAAGGGATCTTGTCCTCTTGCCAGGATCCATTAGTGTTCGTTTTTATTTAATGGATTGCTATTTGCAAATGGATATTGTAGTGAAGGGGACCCAATCCAGAAGAGGAGCACAGGAGAGGGCTTAAACCCTATTACTTTCCATATCAGGGTTCCAAACTGGATCAGGTAGCTATGCTTTCATTACTTTTAAAAGGGAAAAAGACACAGCTGCTACCTACTTCTTTAAAGTAACTTGTGTGACCTGGATTGGGCATGGCCCTTCCAGGAGAACAGTTGTATAAGAAAGAGAAGGGCCAGCCATGAGGCTTGTCACGCCAAAGAGGGCCAGGGAATAAGAACAAGGTCTGTTGTGTCATGGATGGCGCTTTAACCAGAAGTAGCCAGCAGAGGGAATGCCTCAGACACTTTCCTCCTTAACTTGGCCTCTTCTGTGCCTCTGGAGAATAATTGCTATTACCTAGGTGGTTATTCTATCTGATCATTATCTAATGGGAAAGCTTGGTTGCCTGAATTTGCCTCCTTTCTACTTTTCTCCTCATAGCCCTTTCCTTCTTTGTCATTTCTTGGAGACTGTGTGTCTGAAAGCAGGGCTAGCATCATCTAGCCAGATTTTAGTATGGCCCCTAGAAATGCTTAAACATTTTATAAATAATTGAACAAATGGATACATAAAGACTGTTGGGCAGTTCAAGCTGAGGGGAAAGGGTTTCCAAGCAACTAGCATTCACCACAAGGTGATTTCCTCTAAGAGCTCCAGGAAAAAGATAATCCATTGTGAGGGAAATCCAGTTCACTGAGGTAAGCCAGTCTTTCCCCAACCTGGTGCCCTCCATATATGATGAACGGCAATTCTCATAATCCTCTGGGGATGGTAGGGATTGTAGTCTAATGCATCTGGAGGACATGAGGTTGAGGGAAGGCTGAGGTAAACCATTATTATCAGCAAGGAAGAGTTGCCAATACCTGACAGGAAAAGTAATGCCTTCACATAGCATTACCCAGTTCTTGAAGACAATGCACTCTGAGGTAAACAGTTACTTTTGGCAAGGTGACAGTGGCAGGTTCTGACAGGAAAAGGTGAAGAAATGTTTGTTCTCAGTTCATGGTGGTCATTGACAGTGGCAAAAATTTCTACCGGCTTATGCTGGATTCAAGCTTGGTCTTGTGGGCTGTAAGATATCAATGTGTCTATGTAGGTAGGGTCTAAGAAGGGGACGGCAGAGGATGAGGTGGCTAGATGGAGTCACTGAAGCAGTCAGTGTGAGCTTAAGTGGACTCTGGGGGACGGTGGAGGACAGGAAGGCCTGGAGGAATGTTGTCCATGGGGTCGCGATGGGTTGGACATGACTTCGCGAATAACAACAAAAGGTAGGGTCTGTCTAATGAACCCCAACAACTCTTCCACAGGCATCATGGCCATGCACTGATTTACTTTCCTATAGAGGAAAAGTGGGCAACTTGTGGCCCTCCAATTGTTTTGGCCTTCAGCTCCCATGATCCTTCACTATCAGCTATGGTGGCTTTGGCTGATGGGAACTGTAGGCGCAAACATCTGGAGGGTCACAGGTTGTCCACCCCTGCCAAACAGATATACTGGAACATACATGTCCCTCCCAGCATACTGCGTGGAGGAACACAATGTGCATGGTTGTTAGGCTCTTAGGTGGGAATGGAGAAAGAGTGGTTTGCATTTTCAGTTCAAATAATGGTGATTTCTGGAAACTTTCAGAAGCTGTGAGCAGGCCAGCTTGGTCAAACAGGAACAGAGATGGTCACTCTCTGACCATGGGTCTCAAATGTCTATGGACTTGCTGTACAGGGAAATATATAGACCTCCCTTGCTATACTACTGCTAGGATGAAAATAAGGACTATAAAGCACTTTACAAATGAGAACTGTTATATGTAACATGTACAAAGCAGACCCAAGTCTATAACTATGGACATGTCATGCCAGGCAACAAGCCATGGTAGGTTGGTTGTTCTGCAGGGAACCCACAATGTGCCCAACAGATGATCAGGCTCACAGTGGGTTGCTTGCTTTCTCCCTCACTCCCTCTTGGCCCTCCCATGGGTACCACAGGGGACTCTGCAGCTGAATCAACTTGTCTCCCCTTCCCCTCCGTGATCACGAGCCATTTTCAGTTCTCAACAGCTTTTTTGCTGTTTACCCTCTTTTTTCCTCCATTTTGACAGTCACTGATGCCCCTTCAAAATTCCAATGCAGTGTCTTGCAGAGGCTGGCAAATGAGTCTTAAAATAAGAATAATTTTGCATACAATATGCACAAATATGTTTGCTCTATTTCTAATATTTTTTGTCTACACTTGTGTAACTGGAGTTGGGTGCACACAGTTGTGAGTGTAGAAATGTCAAGCCTTGGCTGAGTCAGCATTCTGGAGCATGCCTGTCAAACTGGCTTTTGAAATCTCTGAAAAATAAAAGGGTTAATGGCCAAAAATCCACAGTAAGCCAAAATGGTCCTGAATCATGGTGAGGGAGACACAGCTGCTGCCAGTCACACTGATAGCCAGTGTGGTGTAGTGGTTAAGAGTACAGGTGTGGGACTCTGGACACCTGGGTTTTAGTTCCCACTCAGCCATGGTGCCAACTGGGTAACTTTGGGCCAGTCATAGATTCTCAGCCCAACCTACCTTGTAGAGTTGTTGTTGTGGTGGTGGTAAGATTGAAAGCAGAAGGAAAAGAATGCTGCTGCTTTGAGTTCCTTAAAAGAAAAAAAAAGGTGGGATATAAATCGAATGAATGAATGAATGAAAGTGCTGCTTGGACACATGTGGGGCAGCTGGTTTTAGCAGGTACCTGGATAGATTTGACAGCAGCAGCTATGAGTTTTTGCTGCTCTTCCAGAGTGACTCACTAATTCTTGGTAGTCACACTGGGCTTGGACAAGACAACCCATGGTGAATATAAACACCCCTTAAACATCTCATGAGTTATCAGGGTGGCTTGTTCATGGGCAACAAGACACCCTGATGGGTTGTTGTCTTGCACAAACCCAGTCTATCTCAGGGCCAATCCTACCATTAAGGAGAGTGAAGCTGTTGGCTTAGGCAGCTCATGCTGGATATCACGAAAAGGCAGGCATTTGTTATTTATTATGGTTGCTATTTTACTGCCAGGGAGGCCCATAAGCAGAGGGGAAGGAGGCTTTCCCCCAAATTTGTTTACAAATAATTACTGTGGACACTTTTTAAAAGCTAGCAGGTAAACCTATGCTTTTCAGATAAGGTGCAAATAGTATTATGGGGGAGAGGCTGTTCCATGGTGGAAACTGCCTACAGATGCAATTGATGAATATGATGTCTTATATGAGGAGCTGCACATACTTTTAAGAAGCTAAGAGAGTTTTCTGAAACATCTCTTGGTTCATTGATGGACCAGACACTTTTATTCAGTTATGATTATACATGTAGATTAATATTTTTCTATATTCAAATTATTCAGCATGTCTTCCCCATGTCAAGATTTTCTTCATCTAAAAACTGAAGCTACTGGATGGCTCAATCAGATCAGTGGTCTTTGTCTTTGCTTTCTCATTGAAATGATGCTAAAAGTAGCGGGGTAGCTTAAATCTGTAACATCACTAAACAAGAAAAAATTCAAGATATAATGTGTTGAATGCCATACTTAGAATAGTTCTTGTAGAAGCTGTGAGGAAACCAAAATATAAATCATTTCTGGGCAGAACTATGTTCTAGGGAACCACATGCAGGGAAAGAAAACCAAATAAATAAATAAATAAAATTAATAAAATTAAGGTAAGTACAAATAAAACAGAGGGACATAATGGGGCATTGTTTATTAAAATATAATCTCTATAAAGATAGCATATTATACAAACAGAGAGACAAAACACTCCTTCTATTAGTCACTTGCTGAACAAGGCTTGGAGAAGTTGGTCCAAAGGCTGGTTGTGCGTGACAAGAACGAGGAAGTCCATCCAAGACGTTTCTGGCCAAGAGGGAGCTCTAATCTGCACCTCAGAAGAGTCTCACTTTTTCTTTCAAAGCAGAATTTCTAAGTCCTCCAAGGAGTCATCTGCAAACAACAGTTCATCGGTCAACATACTTCCTACAGGGAGTGTGCTGGGCTGTGACCACAATATCCCATTCTGCGAGGGAATGTACTGGAGCAGGGGCAGATCTTCCTCTTCTGACCTTACCACATTAGCACTGTGTTCCTCTCTAACCCCACTTAAAATGTATCTGTTCCCCACCTCGTTGTTCTCATGGATGTCCACAGTGACCACTGTGGTCTCTGGCCTCTGGGAACAGGACTCTATGATGGAACCAGCATCGAGGTTCGTGTCTATCTGGGGAAAGTCAGAAATCTCTGGCAGTCCTTCCATGCTCTCCTCCAGCAAGCTTGTATTAATATAAATAACATCGGTAGGTTCACTGAGGGGAGGCAAACTTTCCAGCAGCTTTTCCAGGTGAAGCTTCAGTTCAGAGAAGGTGGGTCTGTCCACAGGATCTGCCCTCCAACAGGAGAACATTATATCATACCTGAAGTAAAAAAGAAAAATGCCATGTTGAAGTCAATGGGGTTTGAACCTGATGAAGGAAGGTGAAGTGTGAGTGCATCACTCACGCAGAATAATTCTTACTGTATCCAGTGGGATTTGTCATCCATTCCAACACTCCTGTGGGACTCAACAGCTCCTCAAAACTCCAAATGTGGCAAAATTGCAGGAAACATGCTGGGACAGCTTGCCAGTCCATCTAGCTAGGCAGAAATGCCACAGATGCCACTTGTCAAGTAAAGTGGCACCAAGACCGAGTTGACAAGGCACAGCAGAGGAACAGCTTGGAGTGGGTGGAGTACAGAAAAAGGAAAGAAAATCCAAGACAAGACGGATTGGAGGAGGCTAGAGTCAAAGGCAAGTGACAAGCACCTAGTGCAGGAAAAGAAGAACAGAGACATGTGGAAAGGAGGACAGGAAACCTCAATTAGAAGGTGGGAGCAATCAGTAGGCATGGACAGACAAAAGCAGTTCTGACCAGTCGCTGTGGAAATGGAGGAGGAGGGACTTGCTCTGCCCACTCCTTGATAGCTGCTTTCTTCAGACCCAAAGACCCTATGCAGAACTTCACAGCAGAGCACAGCAGGAGAGCAGCCAGTAACAAGCACTGGGCTTCCTCAAGGAAAAGCATAAAGTGGAGAAAGCAAAGGAGCTTCCCAGTTCATTTTCCTTAGATAAAGGTCAAGGTAACTCTACGGGAAGAGGGGAGAGGCTGACCAGTGTTATAACTGGTCTTGTGGCTCAGTGCTGGTGCTGTGGTTTATCGTTTGTAGTTTATAGCCAGAATTTGATCAGAAGTGGCCTGGAAGTGTTTGGGCCTAGCCAGCCTGTGGAATGTCAAAATTAGTGTGAGCTCTTCTCTGTTGGTGTTCTCAGAGGAAAGAAGGTACAAGTTATTCCCATACAGCTGCTAGCTTTGTCCCTGAGTGGGAAGGAAGCCCGCCATTCTCAGGAGGGTGGTACAGAGACACCCTGTTCAGTTAGGGGCCTTGCTAATTAGGTAAAATCCCTTGTTGATTAGTTGTTCAAGAGGAGGGCTATTGTAGCCATATCTTCACTTTTAAGAAGATGCCCAAGCTTGAAGTCTTTACTGGGAACATTTTCGCCTTTATTGCCCTAAATCCTCTTTGTTTGGATTTACTACTACCTCAGTCTTTTGAGGCATTCTTTACATCAACTCTTCTTCCAATTTGCACTCTTTCTTTCAAACTCTGGATTGTTAAAAATCTGCCCTGAAAAGTACTGCTATACTTTTTACGGTACATGAATCTCTGTTTGCTATGGATTATGTATCATCATCATCGTTAGTCCTGAGTCGCCAGACTTATTCCAACTCTTGGGCTTTTCTATGCCTGTAACATAAGGCTACTAAAGTGGGAGTCACAGTTGTCAAAACCTCTGTATATGTGGCATTATTCTGGACTTAGTTCTGAACTTGTTTTGACTCTTGGATGTGATAGGGTTGGACCCACGTGACACACCAGTTCCAAGAAAGATTCCAAGGTTGGCCTAATGCTCTGCATATGTGGATTTGTTTAGGATTTTTTCCCCTAGGACCTTTTGTCTTTGATTGCCTGGGATGGCTTACACCAGGGCAAGCCCCCTCTTCTGTATCCTGAGCTGTACTGATTACAACAGTGAAAACTAATTGTCTGACATGCTTATAATTATTCACATTAGATAGTTTGGGAAATACTTATACACCCTGTGATTAATTATCAGCATCTGTATGATTTCTGAAGAGAACCAGTAAGCTCTTACTGTGAAATTTGCTACAATAAAGTCACTGAGCTAGGCTCATAACAACTAACAGAATTCACTCAACTCAGTTTGTTGCAGTCTAATGGAGATGATGGAAAATGAATCTGCTTTTGGAGCATTACAAGACCTCTGCAGCCCCACAGAATAATTTTCTTCAAGCAGCTGCTGAAAAATAATGCTTAAGGGACCTGATTCTTTGAGATCATGCAACTTTGTTTTGCAATAATGCTTTGGAGCTGAGTGGATAATAAGCTCTCTTTAATCAGGTACAAACTGAGACTGTTGATATTGGCACTGAGAGGGGCTGCTGTGACATATAAGACAGTTATTGAAAAAGGTTAAAAGGCAAGCTTGAGAAATGACAGACAGCAGAAATCTCTTGAACAAACCAAACCCATTTCTGGAAAATGGAAAATAAACTGCAGTATCAGATTTACTATTTATGTATGCTTCAGTTTTCACAAAGCATCTCATTCTGTACATGAAGTTTTAATTTATGTTAGAATGTATTTTGTGAATGGATCATTATCTTCAATTACTCTTTAACCAATTAATTATAATGCTGATAATGCTGTTGTAGTTATATACTGATAATAAAATCCGAAAAAGGAAGAAATGTGGGTTATAAATTATTACTAAATAAACAAATCCTTTATTTTCCTTTATGTTACACAATTTATTCTGCTACTGGCTTTGGAGATTTTGTCAGGCATCATCCACACCTTTTTCAGCCTACCATGCCTGCCATAAAGAATGAAAGAAGGAAGGAAAAAAGGAAGAAACTGGAACTTGTATGTTAGTGACAGAGCCTGCAGAAGGTACCAGTGCCAGTCTTTAGCATCTCTTTTCTAAGGATCTGAGGTGGCAGGACTATGAATGTGCCCTTTGCAGAATAAACGGTTGTGGGGAATGCCCACTGTGCAGGAAGGATCCTTCCGTTCCCCAAGCATTCTCTGAGTCTCACCACAATGAAATATCCAACATTTCTAGATATGAGGAAGCTGATCTGGGATCTCTCAATTCAGCTCAATATTCAACCACTTTCTACAAACCCCTTTCCAAATACACAAGCTGGAGGAAAAGCAGCATTTGGCAAGATGGGAGAGATAAAGTTCCATCAGAGAGATGATAGCCAAAGAAATGGCCCTCATAGTTCCGTCCAAGCTGGCATACTGGAGACATGAGCATTCCTCCAAACAATCCATGGTTTTGCAGGATTGCAGAACAACTACCAAATCATTGCATTATTACCACAGAGATATCAAATACTTACAATTCATCTAAACATCCTTCTGGCTGCTTCAGCCTATTCCCATGGAAGAGATAGTCATAAATTTCATGGTTCTGAACTCCTGGGTATGGTGTCATCCCTCGGGTTGCTATCTCCCACATTGTAACGCCAAAAGCCCACTGCAAGGTTAAAGAGACAGGAAAAAAAACACATAGATGGCATTACAAAAAGACTAATGGTGCATCACTGTCTGCCCAGATGGAATAAAGGCCTTCAACTATACTATGCTAGCTGGCTCGTGCAGGGAGTTGCAGATCTTTTTTCTATCTAAACTTTCATAGAAATGAACCTTGAATTAATTCAGTAGAACAGTTAATTTACTAAATCTGCCATCCCATGCACATTTCTCTGAGAATAAGTATAGCAGAACTCAGTGAGATTTATGTCTAGGTAGACAGGGACAGAACTGGATTGTGTTTCCACACACACACACACACGTATAGTGTGTTTGTGTGTGAGGAATTTAATTATTTTTACTTCTGCTGTAACAGAGCTAGTATTATAGACAAGAATAAAAATGGACATGGATATCTAATCTATTTGGGCATGTGATCTTTTCTAATTGTTTCTTGATGGAGCAGTCATGGCTGCGGTACCTGTTTCTGAATGCATGAAACTCAAGTTTCAGCCCCTGGCATCTCTAATTTCCAGGCTATCGGGCTGGGAAAGACCTCTGTCTGAGACTGAAAAGCCTGCTTCAGTCTGAATAAATGGACTGATAACCTGACTCTGTTTCGACTCACTTGTGCCTCAGCCTAGCAATTGCTTACAAGAACAGTGGCTCTAATGCACCCATGAAACTCCTAAACTTCAAGGGTTTCTCCACTCCAGCATACAAAGGCTTTTGTGCATGTAGTTGCTTATTCAATTTAAATTAATGGGAAGGTCCCATGTGCAGAGATTATGGACTGGAGGCAATTTTCTAGCATTACAAAATAAGATATGATATGGTGCATGACAATGATAGAGGGAGCTACACCATTCAACTCATTAGATTTAATTGATTTTATATTTATATCCAACCTTTTTCCTGCAAAGAACCCAGTACAACTTACATAATCCCCCTCCTCTCCATTTTTATCTTCACAATACTCTTGCAAGGTAGGTTAGGCTAAGCATCAGTGACTGGCTCACCTAGTGAACTTCATGGCTGAGTAATGACTAGACTCATATCTCCCATGTTCCAGTCCAACAGTCTAACCACTAAACCACACCGGTTCTTCTTGACACAATAAGTAAAGGAGTATGCAGTTCCTAGATCAGAGGAGTTTTGCCAGCTTTTCATCAGGCAACTATATCTGTGTCTTGAAGTTAAGCTTGATGCACTGCTGTCAGCAAGCCAGCACATGTTTATCTTTGTTGTTTCTAATCATTTTGGTGACCTTGGTCAGAGCAGCAATCACAGTTTGTAACATATTTCGTAAGATCAATAGAAAGCAAAGGTATAATTAAGACAAACTACTGAGCAGCAATGGCTTAAAAACAGCTGTGCTAGCAGGACTGGCTCTGTGTTTGGAAGACCTTGGAACAAGACACCCTCAATGATCCCCTCATTGAGTCTACCTCTCCACTCCTGTCGTCACCGGCTGCTCTTGCTCCTCATCCTCTTTCTCATCATTGCTAACACTTCTAGGACATTTACCAGCAAGCAAATAGACCATGGCTTTACCCATCCTCCTTTCCACCACCACCACCATTGACTGGACCAGAGCAAGACGCCAGTTGCGATGATGAAAAAGAGAAGCAAATTCAGGGAGCAATTGTCAATGGGCCCCTGCTATGGATGCAGGTCTTCAGTGGCCACACAACCATGCCTCTATTCTTGGTGTTGGCCATACATGCTGCAATTCTCATACCAATTTACTCTGTAAAGGAGATTGTAATCTTCCAAATGAGACTAGGAATTCTGCTGATCCTACACTAGTTGTTCTCCTGGAGCCTAATTTAAACACCGTGATTGGAGAGCTATCCCCTCAGTTACATACCACATCACTTTTTGTTGTGTAGACTCGATCGGCAAGACTTTCTATTGCAATCCATTTCACAGGCATCTTCGCAATGCGACCCTGCCGGTAATAATCTCCACTGTAAATCTTCTTGGATAAACCAAAGTCTGCTACACACACAGTCATGTCATCACGTAACCTGTCCATTGATTTAAGGTAAAATGTTAATATTAATAGATTTACAAGGACAGATACAACTTTTTTAAAAAAAGAAGTAAAGTTACATAATGTGTGTGTTTCTGGACAGACAGCCAGCTTGGGCTGGACCTTGGGGCCAAATTCCAGGGCCTGCCTCTCAGGGGACACCAGAATCTCTGCTCAGAGACAAGCAGATGAAAGTGCTGCAATTTACTCCCAGGCTTTTAAGGGTGCTATGATTTCAGTGAATTGCAAAAAAAAGCAAAACTGCAAACACTCAATATTCACTTTGTTAAAAATCACAGTTGCCAAACAGCTTTGTTGTTAAATACTAGGAATGTAGAAGCAATTATAAAGCATGGAATGGCAGTTGTGGGGTGGGGAGGAAGCGAGGAGAAATGTTCTTCACACTTGAAGTAATACATCCAAAGGAGGCTCCCTTAAGATCATTACATTCAGAGTGTAAAATTACCTAGCAGCACCATTGCTTCTGGGAAAGACAAAGGCACTATTGTATAGGTTTGAATCCACATGGCTTTCCCCACTAGAACCGTGGGAAAATTAAAATGCATTAAGGGATTTCCAACAAGCTATTCTCAGTGCCCTCACAAACCACAATCCCTAGAAGACCTACAGAGTTAAAATAGCCCTTTAATTTTGTGGGTCACGTGCACCTTTAGAGATGCTTGAATAGGTCCAAAATAATAATTTGCACTGATGGGATATCTCCTGGCATGATTTCTCTGAACACAATTATAAAAGCAGGTTGTATTGGTTTATGGTTGCAGGAAGATGTTTAACCTGGTCCCAGACAGATGCAAAGCAGAGAGGATTTAAATGCAAACTGGCATTGCTGAGTCAGGCCTACTAAAATCTTTCATTGCTGCCTAACCAAGTGTAGTCTCCTGCTAAATATATGGACAAGAACTGCTCCAGATTCTGGCATGTTAAAGTAAGAATGTATGGATTTTGTTAAAGCTATTCCATCTGTGTTTCAGGATCCGTGCAACTCAGAAAAAAGAAACATTCCACTGCAGAATCTGTGGGTCAGATCCATAGCAATCCAAGCTCATTTGAATTTATTGTATTGGCCCTACGTTAAGGGCCAAACTAGACATGAAATTAAACGTGTCGTTTCCTTGATGCATTACTATCTTGTCATTTAGACCAAAAGGCTCCTAGAGTGGCTTATATAAGAACAATAACAATATTGTTCCTGCCAGCAGGCATATTCTAAACAAAGAAAGGGAGGGAAGAGAAAAGCAAGCAAAAGCAGGTGCCAATTCTTAAAGTTACATGGGTATGGATTTATTTATTTATTTATTTAAAATATTTATATGCCATCCTAATCGCAAAAAAGCCTCAGGATGGCTTACAATGTAATACCATAAATAACATAAATAAAATTCCCAACCCACACTGGCTGCAACTAAAAACATAGAACAAAATATTAAAACTTATTAAAATACCACTGGAATAAAAAGGTCTTAACCTGGCACCAAAAAACAAATAACGACGGCGCCAGGCAGACCTCTCTGGGGAGTGCATTCCATAGATGGGGCACCACCGCAGAGAAAGCCCTCCTCTGGGTACTTTGCCTCCTAATATCTTTCACAGAGGGTTCCCGGAGGAGAGCCTCTGCTGCCGAACTCAAGGGGCTTGAATGTAGGGGAACAGCCATGAGGCAGCTGCTCTCTCAGCTAACTGATAGCAGAAAGGCTCCCTTCTGCTTCAGACTCTGCTTCACCTGAGGCAGCAAAATGTCTTGTGCCAGCCCCAGTCACATCATACTGCTGACTCACATTCTGCTTGTGTTCAAGAATACTGAGAACCTTTTCACAGATCTAATGGGCCAGCCACGGATTCCAGCATTCTTTTGGGCCTTCATTTCTCCACCTATTTTCCTTAAGCCAAGGTTCCAAACACATGTTTGCAAAGTCTTTGAGAAGAAAAGCTGGGGTAATGGAAAACTAAAGCTTAAGAATCCTTCCCCTCCTTACATCATAACTCATCCCCTGCCACCAATTGTCACCTGCCTGGTGGCAATGCAAAGTCTCAGATCTGGGTTCTGCAGTTCAACATCAAAGTAATGAGCATATTAGAAAGCCATGCTGGATCAGGTTCAGCATTCTGTTCATAAAGTGACTAAGTAACTGCCTTGGGGAAACCCTAACATCAGCCTCTAGCAGACTATCCTATCAGGGAGAGTGCTGGGCTCTCAAGTATTTCTTCCTAATGTTTTGGTTCTCTAACTGCAGAAAGCCCTTTTGCCCCAAAAAGAGTTAAACCATGGAACCACCAAAGAGGAGCTGGGAACCACCCAGGCAGTTTCGGCTTTTGGGCAGTATATAAATGTAATCAATCAAACAAATAAAATTCCTCATACGTACTACTGAGGTAGTACTCTATCACATGGTCATTTTGAATGTGCGCATCAGCTTTTCAAAGCAACCTTCCCCAATTTTGAAATGAAAGATTAGAAAAACAGCTTTCACTCAATCTTTGTTCATGATTGTAAATTCTGAGCAAGATTAACACACATTTTATTTTCCCTTGCACTATTACAAGCACTGGGTAAAGCTAGACTATTCTATTCTGAGTAAGAGTCAGAACTTCATATGAACTCACATGCAGTTTCGAGCAGCCAAGTCTCTGTGTAGGAACTGTTTGTTACTGAGGTACTCCATTCCAAGAGCAATATGGACCATAAAGTTCAGTAAAGTCTGTAGTGGTACATACTGGGAAGAGAATGGGATAGAAACTGTACTGAATATATCACACTATTATCTTCACAAATGCTAATACTATATGAAATTACACATTTACTTTAAAGCTATTGCAAATGGTACTGGCTAGGAAATCATGCACTGAAACAGCAAGGGATCAACTTGGAGTTAGGGCATCTGTGGTTAGAGTTGGGATGGCTGACAAAGAGAAGGCAATGGTCTAGCTTCTGCAATAGTCTAGCCCTCAAAGAAGTTGCTTTTGGAGTGGGAGAGTGCTGTGGCTCCACTGAAGGGCTGGAAGGTTTCCACTTCCAGTGTTCTCTTTCACAGCAGAGTCTTCAATCTCCCAGACCTGTTTTACTCGACTTGCCTGCCAGTGCACCCAGGACTTGACAATAGGACCCCACACCCCACAATAGGACCCCATACCTCACTTTGCCTGCATTAACCCTGCATGGTTCTGTCCACTAACCAGAGTGGGAAGAAAAGGATTAATGCCAAAGACAAGATGAGACTAACCTCTCTGCCTGAGCTGTAGTTTTTCTCCTCTCACCTCCCCTGGAAAGGCAAAAGGGTCACTTGACCACATGCCTTCTCTCTCCCCTTAAGGGAAGACATATGCTCCCTCTTCTTTCTGTCTAAGCTAACCATCTAACAACGGACCTTCCTTCCAAACCAAGATATCCTGCATGAAGTTATCAACATCTCTCCTTCATACAAGTCATATATGGATTGTTTGTGAGTCAATGGAAACTTTGTGGGAGGTAAGCCTCTCAGTGTGGATTCTAACAGATCCAGGTACAAGCAACAGCCTCTCAACTCAATCCACTGTTTAAAGCTTACTTCTGCTGAACCAATATATAAAACCACATATACAGCGGGCTCCCAACACAGCCCTACTAAGGAGACCAAGTGACCATCAGTTGGGGGAGGTTTGCTGCCACACCGTATGCACTTTCAAAAAAGAGCCTTCAAGGCCATACACCTCACAGATAAATACTCAATCCAAGATTACCAAACAAGTATCAAAATAACAAATAAAATATTAGAAAAAATAATCAGCTGCAAAACCAGAATTTTCTCTACAAGAGGAAGGGGAGAAACTTCATTAGATGGTTGAAGAGGAATGGAGCAAATGGTTGGGAACACACTAGTAAAAGGCTGGCTACACTGGTTGTGGAAAATTCCTCAGCTATCGAAGTTTCCTGAATGAAGGCTCCATGCAGGCACGGAGCCCATATGTGCAACGTGCAGAGACAACAAGGAAAAACACAAATTACAAAAAGCAGGAATGAATTCATCATTACCACTGAAGGAAAGACAAAAGATTTTATATTACAAGGAAGAACATTTTTAAAAACTCCAAATAAAAACTCCACTAACTGGTATTTATTTTTAAAGCTGAAACTACCATTTTTAGGATGAATGAGGACACTTCTGGTTTCCCAGTTCCTTTCCTATGAACCTAACCAATATCCTGGTGAATTGGAAACCAATTATATTGTGGGATTTTGGGGGATTTTCTGCAGAACAGAAAATCTCTTCATGAGCCAGCACCACATAGTTACTGCAGCAAGTACTTGGACCCTCATAGTTGGGCTCCAGGAATTCACAAAATGAATGCATATCACTTCTTCTAAAAGTGGGAGAAATGCCATCCATTTTCCATCCTTCCACAATGGCTGGCAGAATAAGGCTCTCTTTGATGGCTCCCAATTACATGCAAAGACATCATTTAATTTTCCACTTGTATGCAGTTCAAGTAGATTCATATGCTGAGCCATGAATTACTCCATTGTTTACAGCCATTTGACAAAATAATCATTTGTTTATTGCAGGGTCTTATTTTTCATTTTCTGTAGAGAAATATATATGGGGAATAAAATCAAACAATTCCATCGTAGCACTCACGGGAATGTCATCTACAAATGATATGATGCCCTTGTCAATGAAAGGCCCTTCAGTGTGTCATCCTATTTTAAGAATGCTCATCTTGGGGAGGAACAGATCAAAACAAGAACCCCTGCTTACGCCATAGAATATGGAAAAATAATCTCCTCCAGGGGTGCTGTTTCTGGAACAATTAAAGCTTTTATCTTCTGTTCTAATAGAGGAATGACAGTTCATGTTCATCAACAAAAAGTTCAGTATCTAGAAAGCAGTCCTACTGCTTATGTCCAGTCATTAACATGAATGGGCTTGTAGGTGTTACCAGAACCCTTCTGTCCAGCCTGTCGAGCAGATTGTGGCCTTTATCACTCACTTACAATGTGACACAACAGAAACAACAGTCAACAGTCAGGCATGGCATCATGGAGAAGCACATGCAGAATGCAGTACAAGCTGTTCCAACACCAGCAACAAAGCAGACTGATCCCAACACTCAATCTCCCAGGTTCTTCTCTGCTGAAAATTCTGGATTGTAGCTCCTCTTTAGTCCTCTTCAGATGTTTGCCAAAGAGGTCTTAACTAAAACTGTGCAGGGAGCCAAGGATATGTTCTGCCTCCTCCCCTCCAGAGATTGCTGTGTCAACAGGGAAGTCTGCAGAGAAGTGTCAACACATCTGAGGAGCCCCACAGCACTGCAAAGCCTAGTGAGTCAGGTTCCTGGCCTCATGAAATGGCACAGATCCTTCAAATGTGCTTACACAACCCTTGCTGAACTTTTAGTGTTAGAACTAAGGCTGGACTTCAGGTCAAAGTCTAGGGTCCCCAGTCCAAGGAAGTTCCCAAATGACCACCTGGGAAGTAGCAGGTTGTGGAAGCCTCAGAAGCAAACTTTTTTTTCCTACTGAGCTGTTGGTTACCTGTGGGCCCATTCCAAGTCTTGAACGAAGCAGGAAGCTATGCAAATCACCGTATTTCATGAATGGGAGAATCACCATGGGTTTTGGAATGTTCTGGGAACTTGGTTCTATACACACACCTGGAAAAGGTGAAAAGAAATCCATCATGTGCACCAGCAGGACCTCACCATGACAGAGGTGTATTAAACCATGCAGGGTGCGGAAAAAGGGAATAGGGAGACATTTTTCTCTGCCTGTTGTAATAACCGAACCCAATGGGGTCGTTCCATGAAGCTGAGTGATGGAAGATTCAGAACGTATAAAAAGGAGGACTTCTTCACACAGTAATTGGTTAAACTATTGAATTCAGTGCCACAAGATGTAGTGAATTCCACCAATCCAGATGGCTTTAAAAGGGAATGAACAAATTCATGGAGGATAAACCTATCAATGGCTACTAGTCCTGATGCTACCACCAGTATTGGAGGTAGTATTCCTATGTATACCAGTTTCTGGGGAACAAGGGAGGGAGTGTGGTATTACACTAATGTCCTGCATGTGTACATTTTCCATGGGAACCTGGTTGGCCATTGCATAAGCAGAATGCTGAAGTAGACAAACCCTTCAACTCATTCAGTATGGCTCCTCTTATGCTTTTGGATTTATGAAAATCACAGAGCAAGTTATTATGCACACATATACACACTCATGATAAGAAAGGAAGAACAAAATGGTCCAGAAAAGCAAAAGTCTTATTGCAACAGGCCGAAGGTTCCTCTGCTCCATCATCCTGTTTCACACAGTGGAAAATCAGATGTGTCCAAGGAGGGAATGGCGCTCCCCACATGCCTGCCAGTCCAGAAAATGACCTGCTCCTGACTATGCTTACTCTAACTAGCTAGCTAACAGGTGTTTGGAGGCTAGGAGTGCTGAATGTCTTTCATTCTAAGGGCTGACACTCGCAAGGGCCATAGTCCAGAAAAAGGTGGGGCACAGGGACAGGGCCACCAGTGCTGGTATATTTCAGCTTAAAGCACTGACTATAACTATCTCTGAAGAGAGGAATTCTCACCTTTTAGAAGCGAGACGAGTCACACAAAAATGGACAAACTGACAAATGATCCATGGTGGAGGAAAGAGGGCCGAGTTGGGGAAGGGATTCAGCCATCTGGGGAACACTGGAGGGCCAGACTGAGGTCCCAGGAGGGTCAGATGTAGCCACCAAGCCTGAGGTTCTGCACACCTGTTATATAACTACTATTCATGAACTCATTTAATATTCTTGGCTATCATCTCATCTCATGGTGGCAAATTCCATAAGTGAGTCTTTCCCAATCTAGTGTCTTTGAGATCAGCAAGGAATATAATGCCCATAATGGCCAGGCTGGTTGGGGAAGCTGGGAGTTGCAATGTACACATCTCATACCCAACAACTGATATTTGCTAGTTGACCTACCAAGAAGTTTGATGACATTTGGGTGATCAAAATCTTTCATGCATGCAGCTTCCCTAAGGAACTCTTCAATTTCTCGTTGGGAAAAGCTGTCCACTGCAAATAAAGTAAAAAAAAGGCTTGTCAAGAAACTTTACATTCCCTTGTTTGCTTGGTTTTTTTTCCTAATGTAACTCGCCCTTTTGCTTCTCATTTTATCAACATATTCTGAATAGCTATCAAGAAAGAAGCTATTCCTGGAGGCTGGATAGGTAAGAAAGTCATTTAGGTGGAAATCGAGCAGCATGTTCCACCACTGCACTTCAGTTTATACAAAGATCAGCCAGCAAGCCTGCAGACCATCAAAACCTAAGCTATTCCCTTTACAAGATGTTTAGAAAAAGGATAAGTCAATATTTTAAACGAATGCTTCAAGACAGTTTTCTGGGTTCAGTTGGAATTATGAACTAAGGCAACCTTCTTCAACCTGGCATAGTTCTCATGGCCACAGTTAGGCTAGGATTGATGGAAGCTGTAGTTGAACACATCTGGAAATAACTAGGTTGGGAAAGGTCACCCTTCATTCCATGAATCAGCTACAGACCTCTGAAGTCCAAAGTTTCATGCTCAGAACTGCAGTGCTATAGGACTGGATGGGTAAGAGCAGCCTTCCCCAATGTGGTGCCCTCCAGATATTTTGGCATTCAACTTCCATCGGCCCCAGCTAATATGGCCAACAGTCAGGAAATCAGGAAGTTGTAGCCTAGTATCTGTGGAGGCCCCTGAGTTCAAGAATGCTGCAGGAGAGAATGTGAAATAATTTCATGATGGACTTATTTATCTAATCCTGCTTTGTGTTGTTGTTGTTGCTGCTGCTGCTGCATTTACATCCTGGTGTTTTTCCCTTTGTGAGCAACCCACAGTGGCTCACATAGTTCTTCCCATTCCATTTTTATCCTCACTGCAACAGCTGAGAGTCCGTGACTGGCCCAAAGACATCCGGTGAGTTTCATGGACAAGTGAGGACTTATCCATGGATCCTCCCTGTCCCCAGTCCAGCACTCTTACCACCACACACTGGCTTTCCCAAAACTATTGCCACATGCAAATGTTAGCAAATTGGCATCCTCTTTTTGACTGTTGTGTAACAAGCCATCCTGTCTCTTCCTTTCTCAGAGCGCTGAACAGCTGCTCCTCATGTCAATCAGAAAGCCACCCACCTTTGTCAGGGCAGTTTTTAAATGTCAAGAAGTACACACTGAGGAGACAAACCCTCTGCAGCAAAAATGGCTCCTCAATCATCAGCTGCTTCCTCTTCTTCTGTGTAACCTTCTCCACTTTGGTGCCCTCTAGTTGAGCTGGACAAGAAGGTCCACCAGCAGCAATCAGCATGGCTGCTGACTGGGGATAATGGGAGTTGAAGTCCAACACATTTGGTGGGTACCTGGTTGGGCAAGGCTGCTTTATTACTTCCCTATGACAACATTGTAAGCACCTCTGGACAAAGAAATGTCTTGTATATGTTAAAAAAGGGTGACTTCTTTCTCATACTTGCTGGATTTCTAATCCAAAAAGATTTTTCATAAAGAACTTCTACAGCATCACCTAGCTACCCACCTACATACCTGAAATGCCTCTGAATGTTTTTCCCAACAACTCTAGACCTGTCAAGATCTGCTGAGAACTTACACTTCATTGTTTTCACAGCTACTTTTTGAATAGTTCCATCAGGATGGCTCAGACTCCCTTCCATGACTGATCCGAACTCCCCTAAAGGAAGGAAGGAAGCAATAAATAAATAAATCTGCATTTGTCTTGATCCCAAACCTTACAGCAATGAAATTAAGCTAGTAGCTTCATTTTGAAAAGAGATTGTGGTATCAAGCATGTTGGAAAGATGCTTCAGGAACTCTGAAACAGACCTTTAGGCAGCTCCCTCTAGGACTACAACTTCCAGTTTTCCTGAACTTTGGTCCTGTTGGCTGGGGCTGATGGGAATTGAAGCTCAAAACACTTGGGAGGAAACGGGTGGGGAAAGAATCGCTTTGAGGTGCCAAAGGACTCTTTGTGGTTCTTAGAGTAGCACACACTAAAGCCCTTTGAGTTAGAAGTGGGCCATACTGTGACTTCCCAGAAAGGATATCTATCCGAACTGCAAGAGGCCATGAGAAGCTGCCTTGCATCCTGCTCAGCAGAGGGCAAATGGCAGCTCACATGCACATCTGGGGAGCTGGAAGGTGCATTTGGGACTTGAGATACTTACAGAGATGTACAAAACTTACCTTCTCCCAAGATCTTCCCCAGGGCCAAATTGTTCCTAACAATCACAACATCCTGGAGTTTTTCCTGTAGCTCTTCACTCACACCAAGGCTGCCCACTGTAAGGGAAACATTTGGATAAGTTAGGGAAAAGGCCACTCTATGCATTTCAGATCATGTGTCTGAGACAACAAGAAGCCACCACTCAGAAGAGAAGCCAATCAACATCTTTTATGAATAAGTATCCACAAAAATGATGCAATGCCAATGAAATCTATGGGAGTTTGACTCCATATTGGATTGTGGCCAAGTTAAGGCTAAAGACAGGGGTGCTGAGCATATTCCAGCATATTTTGGCATAAAGCTCTTACTACCAAAAATAACCTTTAGGAGAGAAATTTCAGCCTTTTAGAACAGGGGAAAACGTACAAAAGCCAGGAAAGCATAAAATGATAGTGTTCAGGGAAAATGGTGTGCAGCCAGAAGAAGGGGGAACTTTGAAGAACATCACTGGGAATGCTGGAGGATTAAATCTGGCTCCAGAGCTTCTGGTTCTGCACCAGTGGAAAAGAGAAAGCACAGTTTCAGAATCACCTTTTTCCCATTCTTTCCACCTTATTTTTGCATTTCAGGAGAGGCAGAACTCCAGTTTGTTTGAACGTGACATACTTCCTGCTTATTTTTGATCCACTGATCAGAAACTGGCCAAGTCGTCTTTTCCCCGCTCTTTCTCTGTGGACTTCTGCCTCTAAGACAGGCCACAGTTTGTGCCTTTTTAAAAAAGCATTAAGGAGATTTGTGGATATTTATGCAATTTGTATGACTTTACACTACTGAAATTAAGCCAGTGAACTAGAATCCAGGGGAACAAATCATGAAAATCTGTGGATTTTGACTCCCTCCACATCACACTTACCCAAAAAGTCATGAATATGATAGGAAAATGGGCTTTGGAACTACAATTTGGGAAAGCAAATTATCATCAGTGAGGCTGCACATACGGGACTGGTATGTAGCATCCAGTTCCTTGCAGATGCCAGAGCGAGGGAGGGTATGCCAGGAATTAGGAACATGTTTGTCTTGATTCCCCCCACTAGGATTATCATTTTGCTACACCAAAATGCATCATCTTGAGGTCATTCCAGCAGCATTGTTTTGTGGCCATTTCTTTAAAACACATGCACACCCCAGCTGTAGCAACAAATGTAGAAACGTACGTGTCAGTTCAACAGCTCTGCGGCAGTAGGACTTCTTTGGTCTGTAATTTACAAACAGTTTTGACTCATCACTGTTGAAAGCATGCCTAATGGGGGCAGAAAAATATAACATAGTAATGCCATCATACTATTATTCCCATCAATGTGAATTCTTTGGAAAATATGAAGGTGGCAGCTGCAAAAGAAAAAAAGGCAGATGTTTTTCCCATCAGAGATTTTCACCAGCAGGTGTTTGGCTCACAATGAATAAAAACAATGCAAATAAAAAGGAAGTTCCAGCATTCCCCATCATATTCCATTTTTTCCTCTGAATGTATTACTTGATATGCTTATTTCCATCAGTATATCTCAACAAAAGCACTCCATAAACTGAACCTTCCTATAAAAGATATGCCAAGTCACTGAACTATTTTGGGAGGCAAAGGAAATTATGCTAGTTATTCATTTCCTGTTCCTGTAACAGTGTTCATTAATAACAATGTAAAACCTAAAAAACTTTCACTTCCACAGGCTGATTTACTTTTCCCATAATAACGTAACAGTACCAGCATCTTAAAGGAAAACCAAGAGCTTCTGAGTGGTAAGGGCCAAAGTAATGAACATGAAAGCAATTAAACTTCACCCTTTAAAAATGTAAATATATGTATATGAATGTGCACATATGTGTTGTGTGTAGTGGGAGGAACAGTTTTCAGGACCAGAGCACAGGAGGGAGGTATTTCCTCCCCCATAAGAGTCCCAATGATCCCTCACTCTAATATTCGCTTCAGGTAGAAAGTTTGGATCTAAACAGAGCGGGCAGGGCACCAATAGCCTCAGGGTGTCTGAACAACCAGGAATATTGTAGTATTCATGTGTATGACTCTGTAGAGCCTTTGCAAATGAGACGACAAATTAGCTTACAGACAGTTCAAGGAAATGTTTTAATTTGATGTAGTAGCCAAGGACCAAAGCAGACATACGTGTCTTCATTAAAACAGATGCATGCTCAACAATAAAAGAGGAGGTGAGAAGGGACTCATGCTTTACACCAAAAAATCTTGGAAAGGAGAGACATCCCTGCAAGTTCCAATGTGTTCTGTCATTTTCCTGCAGCCTGTCTCTGAAAGCAAAAGTGGTCAGGCAAAGAAAATGTCTTGAAGCACGGGAGCAGACAGAGAAAGGGATGGTTGTCACTTCCATTTACTGCACACACCTTTAGGGCTAACATTAAGTAAACAATTGCACGTATGACTTGGCTCTAAGTATTCTACTTGCAGTAGTGCAAGAGCAGAACTCCAGGGGACTTTCTTAGAGTCACCACGAAAGGCAAAGACAACAAGGAGCCCAGAGTTCCAGGGAAGAACGGCAAGGTTACAAGGGAAATACAACCCAGGAAACTAACCTAATGATACTAACCTAGCTTGGTGTGGTTCAAAACATCAGGAGGGCATCGAACTTTGGTCAGCGTTATTGCAGTAATTATGTAATTTGCTTCGCCCTACCCAGAAGCTCACCGCACCCTTCCCCATCGTATCTGCTCTGGAGTATTAGGGGACCCTCCAGAGCCTCAAGCAGATTTTGGCGGGAGCAAGGGCTGCAGGTGGGAGGCAAACAGAATGTTCTGTTGCATGAGTGACAGCCTAATCACATAGCTTTAGATTCCCTCCCACTGTTTTTCATAACTAGAATATTTATTTGTAAAAGGAGGCGTGTTTACAGTTATATTGCAGTCTACAACATTCCAGCAAAGAAAGAGAACCTCAGTCCATTCAATATAAACGCAATAAAACAAGATTTTACATGAAAATTTCATCACAGCCAATTTCTCAGAAGAATACCTTGGGGAAAAGTTTTGGGGGGTGGGGTTGGTACACTCAGGTCAGTTGGTTATTTCAAACAGGTTTTTTTTTAATTAAAGGGCAAGTGCTGATCTGTTTGGAACTTCATTGTACACTGTCACAAGGGAAGGCGTTTTGTGAAGTCAGACTACAATGGGCCTTTGTTGATTGGTACAAAACAATCCTCATATAATGTGGCTGATTGTGGCTGTCTCCCATGTTAGAAAAGGGTAAGGATTAAAGTTGTGTTTGTGCTGTATGGATGCACAGCAGGGTCTGTTCTATTTCTAGGCTGTTGTCCTACATTCACTTACCAATGCTACTTCATGAATGGTCACCGTAATTGTTTTTCATACATCTAAGCTTTAACGTAATTATCACTGTCTGCCTTTTGGCATTTCATTTTAAATCCACTGCTGTCTGTCTGTCTGCCTACATACATGACATATATGTACCTGTCAATTCACAATGATATTCCATGTGTTGTTGGATTCTCATCTGTTAAGGTTTATGCCATAATGCATTTACTAGCCATTGAGATGCCACTAGGCTCTTTGTCTTCTTTTCCTTTATCTGATCCTAGCTGACAAAACCACGTCCACATTTGGAATAACCAGTGATACATTTCCTTCTTCTCAAAGTTCATTCAGTACAACATCTGCTTTCTTTGAAATCACCAATCGCCTTCAATTAAATATTATTCTAACTTCAGACAGAAACAAACCCCCAGTAAACTTGGATTTTAAGCATGCAAAGAAACCCTGGTTACTTTCACAAGGATTTTATCAATTATATAATGGAACATTTTCCTGTAACTTTTCATAGTTGAAATTTTAAAATTAAACATTTTCAAGAAATTAGCTCCCTCTTTATTTATTTCTATACTGCCTCACAGCTGAAGCTCCTTGGTTAATTCCATATAAGCTTTAGATTTTTGTGAGATTTTGTCATGCAATAGGAAGAACAAACAAACAAGAAAACTGGGCACTACATAGGCCTGATTATGCTAGTCCATAGTTTGTAGATCTATTCAGGGTTTGTCTGGCAGATAATTTGATAAACCATGATTTGCTTTCTCAATCCCTGGATTTTTTTTCCTCCTTCACCTAATCCCACCCTCTATCCCATATGCCTCTGTGTCCCTGTCTGAGTTGTTTGGTGGTTTTTTTTACCACTAACTTGTCACCTCTGCAGCCTGGCAAAATAACTCATGAACAATCCATGGTTCTGGCTTCACATGTAATGAAAGCCCATTTAAACAACCTAGAGTTCACAATACAACAACAAACCTTGGGTTTTCTTTCTGGGTTGTCTGTGGTTAACAAAACAGTGGCTTCTTGATATGTCTGCATATGCACAAACAACCTAGGCTTCAATAACCCATGGGTTAAATCATGAGGGAACTGGGGTGCCAAAATGCAGGACAGGAGCAGGTTCTCCTGCTTGTTATTTTTCTAGTATTGCCATCTTCCCCTTTCCTTCTGTAATGGTCAGAACCTCATATATGCTAAGCAGTGCTAAAAACAGGTTGGTGAGAAAGTGGGTAACAAGACCACAGAAGTGGTGGTAGGGGATGGTCCACAAAGCCACTTTCATCTGGAGACCCACATCTCTGGGAGGCCATGTGCCCCACCACCTTGCTGTCCATGGGCGCTTGCTGAACTAAAATACAAGGGCCCTCAATCCCCTTGGATTAGCTGGGGGTGGGCGGGGGTTTGTGCTTCACCTCTTGTTGCCTGCCCCTTGAATCTTTCTGCCTGATTTTTAGCATATGCAAGCTTTGCTTTGCTAGTTTTGTTTTGTCCTATGTGGATTTTTTGCTCTGGATCTCTTCAGTATTTAGCATGGTCCCACTAGACTAGAAGAAGAAAGGGCAAGAGAAGTCACTCCTGGATGCATTTAAAAGGACAGCTCAGGTTTTAAATAGCAACCTGGCAACTGTAACAGCACAGAGGGAGCTAAAAGATATACAGCAGGACCCCCATATCCATGGGGGATAGGCTCCAAGTCCCCCAGTAGATGCTTGAAATAGTAGGATACGTGGATAGTAGCAAACACTACATTCGTGAGGGTTGGGGGCACAAGACCCCTACAAAAGTGGAAAAACTGCAAATATCTTTAGGGGGAAAAGCACAAGTATCTCTAGAGTCTAAATGCCCACTGAGAAACAAAACATGTGAGGCTGGCTAGTACTGAGGCAAAGAGTGTGGCACCCCCAAACAGAGCATGTATCCCCTAGAAATATTCACATTTTTCTTGTGGTTTTTCCACTTTTGTGGGGGTCCTGCACCCCTAACCCCTGTGACTGTGGAGGGCTGATGGTTAAGTGAAACTACAGTGTCTTAAGACAGTAGATACGGGGGTCCTGCTATACTGAAAGGGAACTAAGGCCAAGGGTCCAGCTAGAGGTGTATGACATTTGGAGAGGCTTCTCTATGTATCCCGCAGTGAAAATATCAAAGACAGGGCATTTAGCAGTGGGAAAGCTGCTAACAATCACATGCTCAAATGAATCATAACTGACCAAACAAACAGTTACATAGCAGAATCGCTGCAATCCAAATCGGTAGGCTATAAGAATTTCCATTCAGGGCCTCTTCTTAAGCATCATCAAAGCAATGTTTAGCTTGTTCTGATCCACTTGTTTTCATTAGGAGAAAATTAAATGGATGCCTCAAACCCATTTAAATTAATGAGGCTTAAAAGTGCCTTGCTTTGGCTGGGCTGTACCCTTAGAATTATTTTATTTTATTTATTTTTCAATTTATATCCTGCCTTTTTCCTACAAAGGGCTCAAGGCAGCTTACAGCTCGTCCTCCATCTTATCCCCACAACAACAACCCTGTGAGGTAGGTTGGGCTGAGAGTCTGTGACTGGCCCAAAGTCACCCAGTTGGCTCCATGGCCAAGCGGGGACTAGAACCTAGATCGTCTGAGTCCCAGTCCCATGCTCTTAACCACTACGCCACACTGGCTATCCAGCACTTTGAATGAAAACTCCTTTCCCCTTTGTGGATCATATATATCATCCCACAGCACTGTTAAAAGAGCCATCATAATTCTTCATTTTTGCAATGAAAATAAAGGGCAACAGCAACCCTATCGTATGAACCTTTATTCAGACTTATGACTCAGTGTGTTCAACAGAGCTTACTTCCAGGTAAATGTGCAAAGGATTGCAGGTATTATTTACTCTTGGGTTAAGCCTGGATTTGAAACCAAGTTTGACACTCTATCGGTCAACTTCACTAACCTCTAAATTTCAGAAAAAGGGTTTGCCACAAGGGTTTGTGAACGACTCAGATGTATGCAACTACTCTACTCTGGTTTAACATGGATGGTGGACATCAATATCAGCCATGCAGCAGATGGCTTTTGAAAATCAGCAAATGCTCCCCTGCTCAAGGAAGGGTTCAGATCCTGGGAGGCCAACCTCAGCCCGCAGGTCTAATCCAGCTCACTGGGTTCGGTTCCTTCCAGGGGCCCCAGATCCAGCCTTCCCCAAGTCCTACCTCCTATCCAGGAAAAGACAGAGTGGGTGAAGCAGAAAGGAACTTGGCCAGCACCAGCCAGAGCTGACTTTTGCAAGGGCCAGCTAAGTCACTCTCTCTATATAGAAAGCAGCATGGAACTCCCTGTCTCTCTTGGCACGGAGAAGCTGGGGGAAGGAAATTAGGGGGCAGAGTGGATTGATGTCATAGGAGGGGCTAGGTATGGGGTCTTTCTTTACTTCATTCATCCCTCCAGCTTGGGGTAGGAGGGCAAATGGCTCCCCCAGACAACATTAGCCTCCACCCCCTCAGCTCATATTGTTAACATTTTCTTTATTACTTACCCAAACTTGGTTTCCTCTCTCAGTTTGTTCCTGAGAAGCACAGATAGATATAAAATTAATCCAACAACAACAACTCCGCATATAAGCCCAAGGATGATTGTAATCGAATCTGTTTTTCCAGATGCTGTAGCTGAAGAAGGTGCCGCAGATATCAAACCTAGGAAAATAAGACAAGTTACAGAGAAAGGGGGACCACCATCTTTGCATAATATGGGAGCGATGCACATTATCAGCAAATTTACACAAGCATTTCTAATACTTTGTAGGTTCTATATCTTCCAATCTGTTCTAAAATGTTCCCAGTTAGAATAGCCCTTAACTTTTGCTCTGCAAAGAATTAAAAAGTCCTCCACCACAAGAGAAAAAAAGGCTTATACCACAGAACTGGGAAAGGTGAAGAAGCAACTCAGCCAGCCAGTTCCTCAGTCAACTAAGCCACTGTGACTTAAGTCATGGTGGGCTGAGGTGTGTGCAGGAGGCCTATTTGTATATTCAAGCAGTGATTGCAGCTTGTTTTGTCATCTGAACCTGGCAAGGGTGGGCTGTGCAATGGTTATGCAAACCTCACAAGACCCATGGTTTGTTTCAGAGCTATGCCAGGGTGGATTTCTGTTGCAGAAAACCATCCCCAGTGGTTTGGATGACCCAACAAGCTGTAGTTGTTGGTGCAAATATGAAAAAGCTGCCTGGCACACTCAAGCACATACTGCAACTCACCATGGCTTCTTTAAGTCAGTAGCTTACTTAGCACAACTATGAATCCAGCCTTGTCCATAAAACACAGCACAACAGAGCAATCTTGTTATCACAAACCATACTTTATCATCAAAATTTTTTTCCTTAGGTGAAAGCAAAGCAGAACTAGTGGTTTGGATGCCTCCTATTTTCTTCCTCCCTCTAAATTCTCCACCTGCCTATTACCTAACTTAATTTAAATGGAAGTCATTCTTTCAAGTCTGGTTTTCTGGAATTTGTGCAGTGGCAGTGCAAATAAATGTCTGAGAGGCCATCTGGAGCTAGGGGAAGGCATTTGGTTAGCTGTGCTACTCCATCTGAAAGCAATTGCTGCACTGGAAACTGGCTGTCACATGCAGTTTATAAGCCCAACGTCACAAGGAAAGGCAAGCAGGAAGAGAAGGCCTGTGCATGAAGCCATGTGATCAACAAGGAAGTTTTATTTTCGTAAGATTAATTGAGGCTAAGATTGAGATATGAGAAAAGCATTGGTCTTTGTGATGTGCCAGCTACCTTTGGTTTAAGGCGAAGCAGGAAAAATATTTAGTTCTCTCAAAGGGCAGAGTGAGATGAGATAGTCTCTAAGAGGTGTTATTCTGAAGAGCTGATCACAGTGCAGTTTGGTATTTCTTTTGTAAAAGCACATTTAAAGGGTTTGAAACTTTGTGTGAAAATTTAATAAGACTATATGATGGAGAAGCATTTGTTCCAAAACCCCACATTCAAAGCAACCAGGAAAACACCACAAAAGGTGGGGGAAAGAGCTAAAATTAAGAAGGAATACATCAATTTCACCTTATTATTACAGCAAGGCTGTCTATGGAGCAAAAAGGAGGAAATACGTGTTGATTTCTGTCCTTTCCGTCCATGAATAATTACGCGGAGAGACACTGGAATAACACTGTACTTCAGCAGAGGGGTCTGAATTTGGAGATGTGGCCATGCAATCCTTTTCCTTTCTACCATTCCAATATCCAGAGAGTCCTTTCCTCAGGAACATTTATTCCCATGGAATTCTTAATGAATTTGGACTGGAGGGCCACTTCCAGCTTCTGCATTAATTCAGATTATTATTATTATTATTATTGTTGTTGTTGTTGTTGTTGTTGTTGTTACATTTCTATGCTGCCCCTTGCTGTTTACATGTCATGAGCAGAGCTGCCTTGAGCTGGGGGTCAGAATAGATGGCCAAGGAAGCCCTTTCTGACTCACTCTGTTTCTATGTTTCTATATTATTTTGACTCACCGTTCCCAGGAATAAAAATTTCCACTGGATCACTGAATGGCCCAACTCCACCATTTGTGACTGCAGCTACTTGCACGATGCAGGTGGCATCAGTGGCCACAATCGGGATGTGAATGGTGGTGCTGTCTTTGTTGGCATGAGAAGAGAGATTCCGCTGCAAGAAAAAAGGGCTTTAAACTTCAGAAGAATCTGACCGATTGAAACAGTCTCTGAGAACATTTTGCTTTTGTGGATGCATTTGGAATTTTGATAATACTGTTCTCAGAAAATGGCTGCCATGTAGAGGAGGGGGCTTGCCCATTCACAGAAAAGCTTCTACAGTGAACATGATTGGTGGGAACACACACTTCCCAGAACGCAAACTGTGAGACAGACAGAAAAATACCTTCTCAGGAACCTCAATACAAACCAGTGGAGGAGTCTGCACTTCAAAAGACAAAGCTGCTCTTTGAAGCTGAGCAAAATACAATGGTGCTGGAGGTCAGCACTATTCTTTCTCAATTAAATAAATATATTTAATAAATACATTAAAATGACAACTGACAGTGAACTTTGCAGGTGCCAAGAAAAGTATCTGAGATAATTAGCTGAAAACCCAAGATTCACCACCCACTGACAGGTTTTTAGATTACATTTCCTGCTTATCTGCCTACAGGAAAGGACAAACATTAAAGCCAATGTTGGTTTCAGTAAAAATAATACTGAGTGGGAACAATGAAATAGCTGACAAGCATTTCTTTTAGAACTGTCTTAACTGCTCAAATCAAGAAGTCAACAAAAATTCTGCCCAGTTGTACAAGCAGCTAGCTGTGGCCAAACAAATCCAATACTTACAAAACTGTCTATTGGCAAAGCCAAAAAAGCAAGACAAAATAAACCTAGTAACAAACAAAACCAGAGGAAATGAAGTTGGTAAGATTCCCTTCTTTTTTTCTTCTTCTTATGGTCCTCTTCCAACTTCTGACAACACAGACCACAGGAGTTATTCCAAAACTGTTTCGGTTCCTATGATGTGATTCCTGATTGCCTGGGATCAGTATTCCCAGCACAATGTGACATTCAAGTACAGTAGTTGCCAATCCAGCTGTTGCAAGGAACAGGGAAGAAGCACTAAAAGTTGCGGAACATTTCACAGGAAATGGAAATGACAGCTACTGTAAGATCAAAAATGCTTGTCCATTAAACATTATGTAGTCCAAATATCAGGATACAACCCTTTCTCCACTTGCTTAACAGGAAGCCCAACTGAGTAAAACGGGGCTGCTGAGGGTTGCTTGCTTTACTCATATTCTTATGGACCTCCCATTGAGCTAAAAATCAACATGTTTATTGGCAACCAAAAAAATGTTAATTCATACTACTAGTCCCCCAATACAGGTGATATTTGGCTATATACATGTGACTGCGAAAAGGCAAAGCTATCTTTGAGGCTAGAATTCCAGCCAGGAGGATCCCAGTCAGCTGGGGAGCCCAAAACATCTGGAGGGCACCTGTTTAAGGCTTAGAAACAAAATAGCTGTGAGCAGGCAGATGTGAAACAAATGATCCCCCTTCTCACGCATTCTGTGTTATTTCCTGGAGAGACGATTAGTCAGCTCGAGCTGCTTCCAAGAGACTTGCCAGCCAGCCTGAGCCCTGTCCCATCAGTGACTCACAGCTCAGCTGGCAAGCTAGTCTTTAAGTTCAGTGGGGCAATGTGTTGAAGAAGTGACTAAGCCAGTATAAAACTTCTGTGTAAACAGGAACAAAACTCTCAGCAGTTATAAAATCATTAAGAATGACAAATTTGTTGTGTTTTGTTTAAATAGACCACACTTCAAGATGCGAAGGTAGTCAGCAAAGCTGTATCAAAGGAGGGATTGCCTACCAGTTCAAATAGGGTCAACTGTGTTAGAGCGATGGGGGACCTGAGTCAGGTCAAGTCCAGTCTGCTGACAGACCCCATTTCTGCAGTCAATGCACACTCGGTGAATGCACAATGCGCAGAGTGGTCGTTCTCGGTAGAGTGGTCTTTTGCAAGGGATGTTTACTCAGAACAGAAGTCCTGCTCTGTTCAGTGAGGCTCACCCCCAAGAAAGTGCGTGCAGGGTTGCAGATTGGGGTGGGAGGCAGATGCTGTAGTATAAAGGGCAGGGCCAAGACATTTTGCTGCTAAGGCAAAGAAGGGGGCTCCTCCCCTCACCTCCCATGCACAAAAGTCAACTGGTTTGGCAGTGAATGGGCCAACACTCCCACTGCACCAGAAGCAGTAGGCCGGCTTAAGGTGGCAGAGCAGGTGGTATGACACACAAGACTCTTTGCCAACCCCTTGCCGCCGCCTCCCGCTCCTGCCAGCACCTTGTTGCCACCTCCCAGCACGTGCTGCCTGAGGCAGCTGCTTCACACTACCTAATGCCAGGGCCGGCCTTGGCAGCATAGATGAAGTGAAAGCAAACTGGTACTTTCCAGAGGTGCTAGACTACAATTCCCCAAGTTCCCAGCCAATGGTCAGGGATTTGGGGAGTTATAGTCCAAAGCATCTGCACAGCACTAGGTTTTCTACCCTGGTATAGATATTATAAACTGTCCCTTCGTTTGCACCAGCTTTTACACACATGACTCAGACTTGGAAGATGTAGCTAGCAACGTCTGTCTGTCTGTCTGTCTGTCTGTCTGTCTGGCAGCCACCTAAGGTGAGGGATCCCAGTGATGTGGTTTGATGGTCAGCTGTTAAGAGAACAGAGCTGTGCCTTGTGCCCCTTAGTTAGCATGCTGCCCTTCAGTGCAGTGCAGGATTCTATCTGTCTCCAATGCCAAAGTGACATGCAACTGCCAGTCTGTACTTCAGGCAGGCAGGGGCTTCCAACACATCTTTTGTCTCAGGCTACAGTAAGTCTTAGGACAGCCCTGGCTGGAACTTTAAAAGGCTCATGCAAAGTACAAACAGCCTAGATATAAAGGTTTCGGCATCCCATGTTTCACTAGGGAAGCAGGCACCTGGATTTTTGGCTGTTGTCTGAAGTATAAGCTGATGAGTTAGCATCTCTACCCTGTGCCCTGTACTAGTCACAAGATCATTATATTGCATTGCTGATTTCTAAATTCTAAGCACGCGTATTAAAAAAGGGAACAGAAAACTCTAGTCCTACAGAAAGCAAACACAGATGAATCAACTCTTTTTCCTGCTGTGGGAAAATGTTTAACACTCCAACCTTAGTGCTGAACATCTGATGTGTCCTGCAGCCCCATAGGATTGCTACCTTAAACTGCAATCCTAAACACACATACATGAGATAAAGCCTCACTAAACTCAGCAGGGCTTACTTACTAAGTGGACACGGATAGGATTGTGCCTTGAACTCTGGACTAAGCAGTCAAGTCAACATCCATAAGATCACCTTAGGTGAAGGGCTGGGAGGGGAACCCAAGAGCTGAAACAATTAAAAGGAAAAGTGAAGCAGATCTGTTTCAGAGCATGTGTGCTTCAACAGTGCTTCCCCAAGAACTGCATCACTGTTCTTATGAAACATACACACCAAGGGATCCAGCGGTGAAGACATGGAGCTGAAGCAGCTATTTCATTGCACTGTTTGCTCTGGTTCAGATCAGGGGTCCAGCATGAGGGCCAGGGAGGGGGCATTCCTGACTCCCCTGCTGAGGTCACCGTTCATACTGAGGTCCCTTACGCTTGCCATTTATAGAGCAAAAGAGTGATTAATTTCCTTTAATGCATCAGGGATCCTGAACTTGCACTACAGTAAAAGCAAAGAATGAAAGACATCACAGATCGCAATATGGTTAATAAAAGGCAGGCTTCAAGCCTCATGTTGTTTTCAACCAGCTGCAGCTTCAGAAGCAAGAAGGGGTGGGTTAGGGTTAGGGTATTTTATGATGCCTTTATAATGATTTCTTTCATAGTTATTACTGTATTTTAATTCTATAAACCACTTGGGGAACCTTTGAGCTGATGGCAGTGTAAAAATATAATAAATAAATAAAGTGATGCCTATAGAGCTCAATGGGACTTACAACCAGGTAAGCATGCTTGTCAGGGGTGGCAACTTTAGGAGTCCTGGAGGCTATTTGTGCCCTTCCCCCAAAGACTGCCTCCCCACATAAAAAAATCTAGGCCACTACAGAGGACCCAAAGGTTTAAAAGTACCTTGTTTTCAAGGTAATTTTGCCTCTTTGGGGGCTTATTAGTAACTAAATGCATTAAAAGGTTTTTAAAAGGCTGCTCCTGATGACCTTAAAAAAACAAAATTGGGGGTACAGCAGCTCACTTTCTATACCCTATCTATCCTGGCATACAGGATTGCAGCTTCAAACTCTTAATTACAGTTAAATATCTGAATGGTTGAAGGAACATAACCCTTAATGTGGTTAGTGATTAATTCAGGGAATGGGTTTAGCTTTAACCATTCATTGTTAATCTGATAAGTGTGGTTAAGGGGTGTGTAGGCTGGGATTTTCTTCCAAGAGAGGAGATGCTTCAGCATTTTGCTTGCCCTACATTTTAAGCAAAATATTCTAATTTGCATTTCTGGCTTAATTTATTAATTAGAACACAATTAAGCTTGGAATTTTGCAATTGTAAGAGAATTTGTGATACAGTGCTTGGTTTAGAAAGTGAGTACAAAAAGGACAGAGGCATACAGAAAGACACTTTAGGGAACAGAAAGTGAACATTAGAAAAACTTGCTTACCAAAATCAATGTGCCTGTTGTATGTAAGCATTGTGTTTTTAATAATTTGCAGAATAATGTGGAAATTGGTCAGGTGGATTTCATAGAGACATAGAATAGTAGAGTTGGAAGGAGCCTATAAGACCATCAGGTCCAACTCAGTGCAGAATTCCACATTATAACATCCCTCTCAAATGGCTGTCTAGCTGCATCTTGAATGCCTCCAGTGTGGGAATGCCCATAACTTCTCTAGGTAATTGGTTCCATTGTTGTACTGCTCTAAGAATCAGGAATTACCTTCCGATATCCAATTGAAACTTCGCTTCCTCTAACTTAAGCACATTATGCTATGGTTTGCATTCTGGAATGATTAAGAATAGATCCTGTCCCTCCTCTGTGTGTCAGCCTTTCAAGCATTTGAAAAGTGCCTTCTTATCTCTCCTCAATCTTCTCTCCTCAGGGCTAAACATGCCCAACTCTTTCATGACTTCTATCTGTACAGCTTCTCCCCAAGTATCTTCTCCCCAGCCAAGGTCAAAAGCCCCAAGAGAGAAGAGGTGAAGTAAAGTAGGGTACAGGTTTTCATTTCTCACTTGCATCCCTGTTTTGATGTTAAAATCATACCTTCAACAGTTTTCTTTCAGGCTAAGTTCCAGGTTTAAGACAAGCTTACTGCCACCATCATGCCTAGTTTGGTCCTTAATGGGAAACGGTAGCTATAGCGCAAAGAGTGAGCAGACGCATTGCATGCAGGGGATCCATGCCAGCCCAGGCATGCTCAAGGAAAAAGAGCAGGGAGCAGATAATGGGAAAGACAGTCTGCCTGAGAGTGCCCTAATGCAGGCAGCCTTGTGTGATCAAAACAGCTGTCCTTCATGTTACTCGTGGAAATACCTAAAATTTCAGGCGGCACACTCATCCAAAAAGCAACAAAGCCTTGTAGATTGTTAATCCTGCCAAAGCAACGTTCCCTTGAAAATTCCAATGCCTAACAAAAAAAGGACTCTTTCCCCATCAACATATCCATGCTAGGTTAAAGGGGGTTTTTTTGGACAAATGGTGCGAAGAAAGCTTTTATTTATTTATTTATTTATTTATTAAAACATTTTTATGCCGCCCCATTCGCCGAAGCCTCTTTTGATGGGATTAAGATTGTACAAGGCTTTGTAAGGCTAAGCATGTATCTTCACCAAGCTACCAATTTTCTTGCTATAAAGTAAAAGTTTGATACAGAAAAAGCCTATGATTCAGAACCAGTTCAAATACATTTATAGTTACTTCAGATAAGCATATTTGGTTGAGCTATTAAGTATCCTGTTGTTAGGAATGTATGAATATTGTAAAATCCATTCTCTATTTTTGTGGATTTTCAGATGCCTTCCATTCTGCCGTCTCCATGTTGACAGAATCAGATTTTCTATAAATACATCTGTACATATTTGCATAATTTGAAGGTAGACAAATTGATACTCCTAATAATGTGTAAATCCCCCCCAGCTATATTTGCACTCTTTATTCTATGGGGAAAATTAGCATTTTTGGTTGGCTGTATTTATTTCGTTCATTGTTCTACAACTACTGTTGCATAGAGGTATGTCCAAGTTTTAAAAACAGTCCAGACAATTGTGAAATTAATGTGACTAAGGAAAGGCCAGTACACTATGGAATCTGTGGGTTGGGTTCTTAGAAATTTTAATTCATTTGAGTCCGTTGCCAATTCATTTGACATCTCTTCCCATACTTACAGACAACTCTGAACTCTGCCACACATGAGAGATGCTGTAGCCTTGAAGTTCACCGTTCAGTTGGGCAGCAGGGGGCTTTCTCCACGTGATTATCACAGAAGAGCTGGACTCATTGATTGAGAGTGTGACATTCTCAGCAGGTGCAGAGGGAGCTTAAATACAAAACACGTACAACAGACAAGAAAGGCTGATCAATATTTTCTGTGGGGCAGTGAGGAGTTAGCCATGTAGCTTTTTAAAAGCTAAGGAGAAAGAAAGAAAATGTGCTAAATATGAAGAAAGAGGAGACATCCGTCTGCCCTCTCCCAGCATTTATCTTAAAATGTCCACCACTCATGAACAACAATGCAATAGTTGTATTTAGCTTCCTTGTTTTTTATTTAAGGAAAAAGTGTCCTGCCAACTTGAGGGGGAGAGTAAAAAAGAAAAGCAAGTAGATCACAAGACAGTGAGGCACACGATACGTATTTCTGTTAGGGTTTTTGACATTTTTAAATTTCCTTTAAAGGGCTACAGACGTTGCTTGAATGACAATGTGGGCAAGTAATCACAAGAACGTAAGAAAAACCATGCTGGATCAGATCAATGGTATATTTACTCCAGTGTTCTGTTTACACAGTAATCAGTGAGCGAGCCACCTCCTCATCCACTGACCATGGCGCAAATGAGAAAGCAGGAAGAGAAGCGCACCGCTTATCATTAATGATTTTACTGGCACTGTCCACTTGGTGCCCATGATATCTATGTGATAATACTGCATGCAGCAAAGATCACCCTAATTTATAGGCTCCTAGAAAGGCTGGAGGGAGAAACGATTGCATTTCTCAGACAATATATTACAGCTGAACTTCATAACATAAGGGGGCCTTATGGCCAACGGGGTGGGATAAAAATCTAATAAATAAATAAAACCAGTGATTTCACGGTAATGGAAATGCTTCCTTGAAAAAAGGGATTTTGTATCCCGATGCCTAAAATTTTGGACACTATAGTGCAATTACTTCATAGCAGCTCACCTAGAAAGGTCTTAAATCTAAACAGCACAGAATAGTATATAATTGACAGTATATACGATCAGTGTGCTAAGTATGGAAATATGACTGGAGGCAATGCTGCAAAACCAGGACAGATTCCTAAAATAGCTACCCAAAAGAAACAAGGTGCCCTAGTAGATACGCTGCTGGATTCTGGCTGGATTCAAGCTCCTGCTTAGCCATGAAGTTCGATGGATTACCTTTACTACATCTACTAATCTATCCTGCTTTACCATCTGGCCACCGCTCTGTACTGTTTGTTTTTCTTACCTCCTTCCGTTGTACTGGCCAGAACCCAAGGGCTGAAATCAGACCATCCTACTTCGTTCAGACAAGACACACGAACGTTGTAATCTTTCAGAGCCGAGAGATGCCGAATACGGTACAGATGAGGAGGTGTGGACGTGTTAAAAATCATCACGGAAACATTACTCCAGGCAGAGATATCCTTTAGCTGAAATGAGAATCAAATTTTCAGCAAGGCTGATGAAGGGCACAGCCCAATTCCCCCGGGACAGATGTATGTAAGCCTCCGACTTCTGACACTAACAAGCCTTCAGCGCAAGGCACAGCGGCAGCCCTTCCTGCTCTCCTGCGCACATGTATTTCCCCTAGACTGTTGTTTTTGGCCTTCTCAGTTTTAGCATGGTGGGGGGGGGGGGGGGGGGCATGGAAGGTGGTCATAACTCAACAGCCCTGGCGTCCCCTCTGCCCAGCTGTTGGCCTGTTCCTTTTTCCTTCTCCAAGGCTCAGCTGCACCTGAGGGCAGAGTGACTTTTTCCATGCCTCTTGTGGGGGGGCAGGGCCTTTGCAGCCCTACTCTGAGGCCACAGGATCTCAGTGATAGAAGGGAGACGATGATGGAAGGCCGCTGGATGGTGTCCAAACAAAGCTTCCTAAGGCACTGCAGGCATTTTAGACAGTGGGCTTCTCAACACCACTGTTTAATTTGCAAGAACAAAAGGTACATGTTTGCCAGAACACCTTCCCCCAAGCATGGATTATAAACATGGCAAATGGCTCTCTGCACATGCTCTGGAACATGATTGCACCTCCAGAAATTACAGCAAATGCCCAGTGGGAGACAAAGAAATTAATGCAACTGTAGAAACCCACGTTGAACCTAACATGGTCAACCACAGTCTCTAATCAGATGGATAGGGCAGTTATCTCAGGATAGCAAAACAAGTCCCTAGAACTGTTTTCACTTTCAGCATTAAATGGCCCCATTAAAAAATCAGAAGTAACCTGCTAAAATGTAACATTTTTTAAAAGTTCACACTTTAAAAGAAGAATGAAACTGAAATGAGGTTACTGAATGGAGGAAGTTATCTGGCCAGGGTGACTTATTTTATATTGTTATTTCTTGTATTTTAATTTTATGTTGTGAGCCGCCCCGAGGCTTCAGCGAATGGGGCGGCATAGAAATGTTTTAATAAATAAATAAAATAAATAAGTTTAGTTTTAAAAAAGGGTATTTTCAGAGATGAGAGCTACATAGTCAACCTCTGCTTGATCCGTGAATCCTGGCCAGCTAGCTAGGAAACCTTTGAAGCAACCAGATCCCTAGGGACAGGGTTACACATGAAGTCTAGTCTACAATGATTTTAATTTTATTTCTTTATTCTACTATTCTACCACTTAACATCCTAGGATCTCTAAGTTGTTCACAATGCATGAAATGCCTTATAAATTTTTTCTCTAGGCATTTAATAGTAATTATAAAACTTCAAATAAAATCAATATGAAACTAGAAGATATGCTGACATGGCATAATGTAACTTTATCACATTTTAGGGACTAGGATAATAAGCAACATTGCAGAGACTAAGCTTTTCTGCACAAAGATCATCAGTTGTTAATCTGACTATAACAATATAGACAATGATAATAATCTGCATCACCTTTCAATTTTGCAGAATTGACTTGTACTACATGTGGAATGCTTCCTTTCTGTTTTTCTGCTACATAAACTCTAGGTGGCACTGTATATAGTGCAATAGCACAAATATGTAAGAAGAATCTATGCTTTCTTTCACTTTCATTTCATTCACTAACTGATTGCTGCATTTTCCCTTTTCTTAAAACAAGAACAAGCTTACAGAAAGTGCTGATTAGTTAAAGAAAAAGAACTGGCGTGTTATGAGGTCTTTCAAAGAAAATGCAAATAACTGTCAGGAATGATGCGCATATGCTAAATGCTTCCTATGGAAAAGCCCTTTAATGGTGAAACAGAAATGCTAAAAAAGGAAGGTAATAGCAGGCTTGGGGTAACTCCACAATTGGCAATTAATAATAGTAATAGAGCTAATAAGAATAGAAAAAGAACAACAGAAAGAGAAACCTAAAATTGCCCACTAATTTATTTATTTATTTACTGATTTATATCCTGCCTTTTTCCTACAAAGGGCTCAAGGCAGCTTATATCTCCTCCTCCATCTTATCCCCACAACAACAACCCTGTGAGGTAGGTTGGGCTGAGAGTCAGTGACTGGCCCAAAGTCACCCAGTTGGCTCTGTGGCTGAGCAGGGACTAGAACCCAAATCACCTGAGTCCCAGTCCCGTGCTCTTAACCACTACACCACACTGGCTGAGCATGTCCACTGGACAAAGAATGTTGACCGGATGTGGGGGAATGAGGCAGAAAACCAGTGGAAGAAGGAATGGTTTGGAGTATCTTGGAACCAAGTCGGCTGTCTGGCTGGCTGGAACCTTAAACAAGAATGCTGCACGCTGTGATATTTTCTTGTAGCACTTCCCTTACCAATTCAACTTTTGTTTCTTTAAAGACTGCACCTTCTGCCTTTGCACAGTTGTTTAAGGCAGATTTCAAGAAAGGTAAAAGAACAATTCCTAAAGAGGGTTGTATATCAATGCAGATAAAACTACAAGCTAAAATAAAAGCTCTATTGTATTTTAATTCTATTATGTTTTATGGTCTGCTTGTTATTGTTATTTTTTTTTGTATTTTTGTGGCCTCTGTGTGTGTCCTGTTGTGTTGTTGCGTTGTGAGCCACCCAGAGAGCCTCTGGCAATGGGGCAGTATACAAATGTGATAGAGAGATAGCGCAGGGTAGCCAACAAGCTACATATGAGCCAGCAGTGTGATGCAGATGAAAAAAAGGCAAACACTATTTTAGAGAAAGTGAAGTACTCAGAAAAACAGAAGTACTCATTCCCCTCTACTCTGCATTAGTCAGACCTCACCTAGAATACAGCATTCACTTCGGGCACCCAGATTTGAAAAGATGCTGACAATCTGGAGGGGGGTTACAGGAAGGCAACAAAGATGATACAGGGCCTGGAAAATAAGTCTTATGACGAGAGGCTGAAAGAACTGGACCTTTTCAGCCTTGAGGGGGAAAAAAGACTACAAGGTAACATGAGAGCAGTCTACAGGTACCTCAAAGGCTGTCACAAAAGGGAAAACACCTATTCTCACTCATCCCAGATCGTAGGGCATGAACCAATGAACGTAAAACAGTGTACCAGGTGCAGTCCAGGCACAAGGAAGCCTTTCCTAACTATAAGAGCAATACAACACTGGAACCAGTTGCCAGTAGAGGTTGTGTGCTCTCCCACAGCATGTATGCATGTATGTTTGCATTTATTTGCCACCGCCTACTCCAATGGAGTCTCTGGGTGGCCAGAGGTATTCAAGAAAAAAACAGACAATAAACTGAGTGGGCTGGTGTAACTGGCATCCTGCACCAGCAAGGGGTTGGACACGATGGCCACCTTGGCCCCTTCTCACCCTGCTATTCTATGATTCTAGGGTTCAAATTCTGCACAGCCCTCCCTTGCCAATCTGTATTTGGTGGCTTGGAGGGAGCAGTTATACATTCCCTACAACTCACACGTATCATTTGTATTATTTGGAGCAGGCCAAATAATACAACTCTACCAGAAATATCTAGGGAAGGCGCTCAGAGCTTGGCCTCCCTTCCAACCACGCACACCTCCTTTTTATGGAAGGGCTTTGCAAATATCTTTGTGCAAATATTGTTGATGTTAGATTAGCCAGAGAGGTGAACCCATATTTTGGAGTCACTTAGGTGGAGATCTGCCAGCAACTATGAAACACATCTATTGAACTGGCAAAACTGAAAGAATAGAAAGGTCTCTGGATTCTTATCTCCAAACATGACTTCCTTTACACACAGCTGTAATGCAGTTCTGAGGCTATTGTGCTGTGGTGCATGTTGTAATTTGAGTCTTACATAACCTCAGGGTTTAAAGAAGGGGAAGCTCTCTTAAATAGGGCATGATATTCACCAGGCAAATTAGCACCAGTGGTCCCATCAGGCAGTTCACTCCTTTAGTGTGCTTGCATTATAAACTAAAATCAGTATGAACTGCTTTGACTGTCCAGACTTCTTTTAAAGAACCCTGGGAAATCTATTTTTGTGTGGCTACTGGCCATTTTTAAATTACAGATTACTTATATTGGCCCTTACAGATTACTTATATTGACAGAACTACAGACCTGTGCAGGCATTTGTCTACTCAAGAGTAGGGCAGAAGTGTAAAGGGGCAAGGGTACAGGGAAGGTAAGCCTCACCTTCAATGTCCCCGATATGCTGACTACCAATTAGACCTCTGTGTGTTGAGTGAAAAGGACACCATGAACCTTGCTCCACTTGCCCCTGCATACGGACATCCAGTGATGGCCTCCAAATTTTAGAATGTCCTCCTTTCTTGACTTTTCAGCACCAGGCAAAAGACCTTTTAAAATTTTCCATGCTTGTTAAACTGCTGCTTCCCTTATTTTGTATCTGAACAGCTCCATTTTAAAATCATGTTCTCTGTTTTTAGTTGTCCAGTTATTTATCTCTTTTGAAGGGTTATTTGTTGCTGCTGAAGTGACTTTTAAAGTAATATCTTTCAAGGTATTTTAATTCTGATTTTTATTAATTTTATTGAGTTGTATTGTTTGTGTTTTCATCGTGCATGTCCCCTGAACACTGCAGCTATAGGGCAACTCATAAAGTGAGCAAATATTATCATAATTTCTAAGCATGTCCAGCTGAAAATGTTTACAGAAATTCTGTGATTGCAAGCCCCCAACTATTGGGAAAGGGGGCCTGGGAACAAGCCAGCAAGCCAGATGCAGAAGTTCAATGAGATGTATCTAACCCACAGGCCTGGACTGCCCTGTGCTTGCACTGATCTTTCAACTGTACCAACTAGAGAGGCAAGCAAAATTAATCATTCCTCGATGCTATGAGGAGCTTTGGCCAGCAAATACAGGAGCATAATCATAACCAGCTGTTCCTATTTCAGGATTATTTCAATTGCAAGACAGCCATAAATATCTTTCTGCCTCTGGTATTCCCAAAAGCGCCAAAACAGAAAAGGCTGTTCAGTCCAGGCAAAGCTTCCAAACCACAGAGAAATTTAAAAACATCACAGTGTAGTAATCCTGGCCTGGCTTGTGAGCATCACATGCTCAGAGTTCTAAAAGCTGATTTGCTTTGGAGGTTTCATACACTTTTTAATTCAGAAAATCCAAATCTATACTTAAAGTGCCCCATAGAAAATATTAAATCAGAAACCTCTCCGGCTTATTTCCAGAACGTCAGTAAGAATGCAGTGTTGAATACCATTGATGTGACAGCATCCGGAAAGGAAAAGCATCCATGCCTCTTCCTGACCAACCCTCCATAGTTCCTAAAAGCTGATTATTCAGAACTGCCAAAAAGGTGTTGCTTAAACTGACACCACAAACACAAGAAACAGTTCTACATAATAGTCGGGTTTATATTCACTTAGATTTATAAGTCTTCCCCCTGCCAACTTTTATTTAGGTGCTAAAAGGAAAGAAATGCATGGATGAGAAATGAAAAATGGGAAAAATTGCCTTGACCTTTCTTATGAATGGGTCCCAGTTTCAGGAAATCCTCATGCTGTCTGATTATGAGCCAGAAAGTGCACTTCCTTGGCTGTATGAAGCAATTATTTAAAAATGTTGGCTGATCACAAAGGGCGCAGTTCACAAACCTGTTGTGCGGATGTGACTGTACACTCCTGCATCGCTCTGGGACATTGGCTCATTAGACAATATTTCTGGCACCTCTGTGGGGGTTTCCATTGATCACAGAAAGAATAGGATGAAGTCAACATGTGCGCATTGCAATTGCTGCAGCCAATCGCTGAACATGGATTGCGCCCTCCAATCGCTGCGCTGCACTAAGACTGGGCTAATTACATGGAGGCTAATTACATGGCCAGTCCTCCATGTGAGCTGACAGCTCCACAACCCAACCAAGTGGCAGAGATTTCCTCTGGTCTTTACAACATCTAGCACACTGCCACACTGACATCCTGCTGCCTTCGGGATGGCATCAAATGCCACTCCATCTGCCCATCCAAGTCAAGAAGCACAGTATCTAAAGTCCACTAGGGTATTTTGGCACACAAAGCAGAAAATCTCTCAAGTACTTCTCCCTGCTGCTGGTAGTCAAACTGTAATAATAATACATTAAGGATGCAATCCTGTGCATCTTACACTAAGAATGGTCCCACAATTCCCTGCATCCCCCAGTAAGCACAGAACTTAACCCCTATTAAGACATAGCTGGGATTCTGTAAATGATGAGGCTGACTAAATCCCTCAGAAATCAGTGGGAGTCAGGAGGGTCACAGCACACAGGATCGCAACCCACACCTCAAGCAAGTTCAGATGTGCAAATAATTATTGTCAAGGCAAGCAGTTCCAGAGATAGCAAAAAACTTCCAACTACCAATACAAATTATGTGGTCATGCTCCAGCACTTAAGACCATTCTGTTCCTTTGGTACACATTGGCCAAAGGAAAGCAAGATAAAACGCATACTGCGCCTCTGTGAAATATGACAATGTTGCAAAGCCAGTTCCTGATCTCATGCAATGTTTGAAAACTTCCAGGCATTTGCAAGTTTCAGAGCATTTCTCCTTCTTGGATGAACTGCATGGTAAGATCATCTGACAGTATAAATAATAAAACAGAATTCATGAAGCAAAGAATCTAAAATCAAGCATCACTAAGCCAGACGGTCAGGAGATTACAGTTTTGTTTTTTTCCAGCCACTATTCCAACTATGGGGAAATCAAGGTAACATACAATAACTTCCTCTTCATCAAACATCCATTATAACACAAGATATTAAGCCATAAAAACCAACACGGCACAACACAAGAACGCATAAAAAGCAGCATGCTCAACAGACCCTAGGAAACAACTTGCTCAAAATATTTTTGGAAACCTACAAAAGTTTTAAAAGAGAGGAAGCCCACCTGATCTGCTGGGGTAGGATGAATATCTGCAAAGTGTATTTGCAGCCCTCTTTGATGCTGCTCCCTTTAGCCCTGCAGAAAGGTTTATTCCAGGTATAGATGAAGCTACAGGGGATGCGATCAGGATTCCAGCTGCTGGGCCTTCCCTCAACTTCCACATGTTCCAGTTGAGATTTGCAACTGACCTGACAAGTATATGCCTAAGTGTGCACAGGCTCTTTAAATTGCTCAAGGGCAGCATCAAGGGCTGGCATGGCCAAGCTCCTGCCATGGCCCCCATCCCCTCAGGGTGCCTGCTGCCAATCCCTGGGACCTTTGGGTTCTGCTGGCTCTCCTGCCTGATCTTGCGGTGCATCCACCCACTGTGAATGAGCGAGTAGTGAGATCAGGGAGGAACTTCCATGCATCTTGCCTTTTAGGAGTGGGGGCTGATTGTGTGCAGGAGAAGAGCCAAGTGAATAGGTAACAAGGAGTGACACCTAGGAGCTGGAACCACTCAAGATTGGGGACCTACATGCCCAAAGGCTCCCCAGCAGCCAGAGCCACTACCAGTGCAATCCAGACCCATCCTTTTTTCCAGGACATGGATGCACAAAGGGAACATATGCATGTTTGGCGATGAGCAACTAGCTGCCTGTGACAATGACCCCATCAAGCTGGAGAAGCTGGGGGTGGGACTAGCAGGCAACTCCCTGAAACCTCCCTCTGCAACCACAATCTACTATAGTGCTATGCGCAACCTTTGGGGCCTTCCTCTGACTGCCAGCCTCATGGGTGGCAACAAGGGAGAGGGCCTTTTCTGTGGTGGCCCCTGCATCTTTGGAACAACCTTCCTGCTGAGCCCTGCTTGGTGCCAAACTTGCCATCATTTTGGTGCTAGGTCAGGACAGCCCTTTATGTAAAGGCCTTTAAAGATCACCTCTTTGCTTACCCAAGCACCACTTTTCCCTCCTGCCCTAGTTGCAATGCAGAAAAATCAGCTTCCACTTGTGCAACGTCAGTAGTGCTAGCAAGAGCACACTGTTGGGTCCTTTCCTTAGTTTGCACAGGGCTTATGCTGCCCTCACAGGTGTTGCATAGGGCAGAAGTGGGGAGGAGGACTGTCAGGAAGATGATGGGGACAGAAAGTGACTTCTGCCCATCTTCTTCCACAGACAATTATCTGGATCAACCTTCTTGGTCAAGGTCTGACAGCAAGAGCGAATGAGAGGCATGGCCTTGCTGTCTCACCTACAAAACTCTTGTATTATTTATTTAGTTGTATACCGTCCCACAGCTGAAGCTCTCAGGGCAGTTTACAATAGTCCATAAAAACATCGGATAAAAATACAATAAAAATATAGAATTGGAAAAAAGAGACACACCAGAGTCATATCCAAAGTACCTTTGGGAGTGTTTTATGATCTGTTTATGTGGGTTGGCCCTTGCCAGGGCTGAATGCTTGTAATGCAGTAGCATTTCTTTCTGTTGAGCTGGAATCGTTCTGCTCTTTAGTTACTGCCAGGCTCTAGAAGGGGGCAGACACACATGAAACACCAGCACTGCTTTTTCACCTGGGCGATGGGCAGACCAATCACATGACTCTTGGTTTTCAATTTTGCAACACAGATGCTGAAGGAGTTCTCAGCGGACTTTCCATACATTCTGCACCCTAAAGACATGCAACCAGCCGTTGTCTTTGCAGCTGGAATGACTCACTGAGCCTTGCTTCAGCTAAAGGACTTCTGTCTGCATGTGCCACGCAAGTTCATTACAGAAGTGGAACTGAAAGAACCAGTCAGGCATATGACTCCCAGCAATGAGGAAGCCAGTTCTCCCATCACCTTTGCACTGAACCCACTTCCTGCTTCCTGATGATCTTACAGGGCTTTTCTTGCCACCTTGTGCAACATCAAGTTGGGGTCTGAGCACGATTTTGCTCCCATATGGTACAACAAAATGCCCATTCCACATGTGGGGCCAGAGAGGTTGCTGCAATTAGGAATGCCAGCGGTAGCTCTCATCCCTCTTTGCCTCCCAGTTAATCTATTTCTTTAAAGAGGGTTGCATAGCCTGACAGGCACCAAGGGAGGTGTCTTTGGACACATTGCCCACAAACACCTTTTTGGGCACCCCCATCTAGAGAAATGAGGCCATGTGCGGCACCCCTAATTTGCACTGTCCTACTCTGCAGCCTCACTAGTGAGAAAAAAAAACCCAAAAAAGCATCCAAGTACGCCATGGAGCATCAAAGGGAGGCACTACACTATTCATTTAATGTATTACATTTCTATGCCACCCAAAGCTCTTGGGGAAGTTTCCGAAGATTTACAAATAATTGAAGTACTCTGGGCGATTTACAGTATGTTAAAGACACTCTATAAAAACCACATATAAATGTATAAACATGCAACAGAGAGAGATATACAGAGATCTAAAAGTAATTTCGAACAATCAACAAGAAAAATTAAAACCTCATCCTAAGCTGCCAAATGCCTAAAAGAGCAAATGTGCACAGATATACTGGCATCACCGTCATGATTACCTAGCATTGCTCACCTCAACACTGCAGTGGCTCAAAGGCGAATAGCCATCGAACCCTGGGATCCAGGACACCGTGACTGTGTGAGCTGTTCTGTCCACAATGTTCACCTCGACAGGCGGGGACGGAAGTCCTGCATTAGAAACAACATGAGAAACAACGGCATTTGCAATCGTGATGATAATGATGACGGTGGTACTTCTGTCTATGACATGCCATGCAAAAAAATGTGTGTCACTAAGAGGCCATTTGGACCCAATGCAAAATCAGCTATGTAGGTGCGGAACAAGAGAATGTGAGAAAAACACATTGGAGTTGTTTGCGCATCCCCCCCCCCCAAGAAAGTACATTCAAACATTTGGGCTAGATGTTTATAACCCCAGTGACTAGGACACAATGCCCTTCACTGCACAAATTCTGAGGGGTTTAGTCAGATGTCCCACTATCCTCAGCAGAGCTTTCTCTCTAGGAAATGTGTTTATAACTGCACCCTTAATTACTAGCTGGAGCAACTCCCTTACAAAGGAAGGGAGGAAACACTACTATATCTGGGATCAGCTTGGAAAGAAGGCAAGTAAGGAGACATGACAGAGGTGTACAGAATTATGCATGGCGTAGAGAAAGTGGATAGAGAAATGTTTTTTCTCCCTCTCTTAATACCTGTTTTAAGGGATGTAATAGCATTTTTATCCTCAGTGAGTACATCTTTATAACATCTTTATGGCTACTGTCCTATATTTTATCATCACCTTGGGAAAGCAACTGTGCCCTCACAGGGCTGTGAGGATAAAATGGAGAGAAAGTGGAACATTATGTAAAATACTTTGAGTTCCTTGTAGGAAAAAAGGCAGGATATAAAATTTAATAGGAATAGCATTCTCTCAACATTCCAGACTGGCCCCCAAATTTGGAGATTCTCAGTTTGAAGACCAAAGTTCATTTCATACTTATGACTGACCTTTGATATTGATCCGGGCTTCTGTGGACGTAGTTACTCCCTTCTTGTTGTGAGCTTCACAGTGGAAAATGGCAGTTTCATTAAGACCTGCAGTCCAATTAAAATGAATAACACAAATGGAGAATGTGTAGTAACACAATGGGGAATGTGGTCAAGATAAAAAGAAAAGGCATTTCACCCATTTCTCCTCTCCCTTGGCTCCTTTCTTGAATGCAGGCCACAGAAAAAGAAAAGAACATCAAATGAAGTATAAATAAACAAACAAACTCCCAAGGGTTGTTTTACAGCTTGGGCAAACACCTCCTCAAGTCCAGCACTTCTCTGACAACAAGGAGGTACTTCATGGGAAAGGGTAACTCCTTTGTTCCTTTAAAAAAAAAACTTTCCTTTGCCACATATGTAAGTGAATTCTTTGAGAAAACTATTTTAAAACCTGCCCAGGACTTAGGCTGCAACTTCAGCCAAGCAGCAAACAAAGCCACAGAATGGAAAAGTTTAGCAAACCGACTGATGAAAGTGGGAGACAATCATTCCAGAGGATCCATCCCAGATTTGTTGCTTTACTGAAAAGACAGGCAATCTGGTGCCTCCCAGATGTGTTGGAGTACAACTACCATCAGCCCCAGCCTGCAAGGCTAATGGTTAGGGATGATGGGAGTTGTAGCTACAGACATCTGGAGGATGTTTCCAATATTTGGGCTCTGGTAGATCACCAGAATCCAGAATAAATTATTCCACCACAGACTGTTACTTCTGAGTAAAGAAAGCACACTGCAGATGGAACACAGCATTAAGCAGTACATCATGGCGGAGAGCAGGGTATGGTGGACTGGCAACAACCTTAGTTGGGATAAGAGCTGGGCAGGATTTCAGTGCATCCCCATTTTTTTCTCAGAGTTCCTAGCGTTAGCCTAGGAAGGGCCACTGTAGGGCCACCAACTCCAACTCCTTGCTCGGTGCACATGGTGACCTCATACATATTTATGAGAAACAGGGAATGCATCAGCCAAAAAGAGGTCAAAGAGGGTACAGATTAGTATTAACCTGCATGTGCCCATTTAGCTATATAAATGAACTTAATAAAAGAAATAGTAAAATTTTACAGTAGATAGAAGCCACAGTCTTCTACAGTGTCCCAAACTTTTGACTTAATCTAGATTTTTCAGGATCGTCCTTCCTACACTAACAGTGTAATCTGATACTCATCTCCTCCGAAGTAACCCCACTAGATTTGGTGGGGCTTCCTTCCAGGTAAAAAACACCCCCTCCCCTTTAGACACTATGCTGGCAGGGTGCTTATAAACAGGAATCAATTAAGGCCCAATCCTATTCATGGCTGGCTGGGTCATGCAGGGAGTTCTGTCCAAACAGGCATATGATTGTACCCATATGCAAGTTCCTAACATTTTTAAGGAAGGTACTCATGCTAAGTAGATGAAACCTTCCAAACTTAAAAGTAACACCCAGTTCTATCAGGAATAATTCAGAGATACTATAGCTGCTTTTGTACATGCTGGAACCTCAGTGTGAATCCCATTCAATCCAATGGGGCTTAGTTCTTGCTGAAATGCATAGGATGCATTATGAAAATGCAGCGATCCTAGGCATCCTGATTTGGAAAGAAGCCCACCAAATGTTTTGCAGCAAGAACAGACTCAGTGAAATATTGATGGGTCTACTCTAAGCCTAGACTAAGTTAGGACATATGGCTACAAATAGATCCTGGGTAGTAAAATTTACTTCCAGATAAACAGGCATAGAATTGCACCGTAAAACATCAGCATTTTAGATTGTCTGGCTAGTAGTCAGGACATTAGAAATTGCTGCTACCATTTTGAGGAAACTGGTTATTTTTCATTCTTTTGTAAAGGCCCAGCTTGACATGCAGCAGCCCCCAGAGATGCAGTCAAGGACTTTCAGAGCCTGGACTTAATGGTGCTGCTCCCTCACTTCCAGCAACAGCAGTCCCTTCTAGTAAGCAAGACTCTGGACGATAAATTTCACTTCTCAAGAAGCAGCAAAACCAGGAGCAACACTTGCAACTAGGCGTTTCCAATTGTGCCGTTTGAGTAAACAGGAATAGCTTTTCCTTAGCAGAACTGCTCTCGCCCAGCCTACATTCACTTTCAGATATACTGAAACGAATGGAAATTGCACAGCAGTAATGCTGGCAAGAACTTGCCCTGCACTTTTAATACTGTTGGGAAAGAGGGTACATGTTGGAGTCTAGTTGATGGATGCAAAGAGCTATTTATAGACCACTGCAGTGACCAGATTTTTCAAAAGACAACTCCATAAAAGAAAATTAACAAGTGTCAAGCCTTAAACAGTTGAAGTTTTAAAAGAGTCCTGCTATATAAAATCTACACTCTTTTCTCAAAATATTTATCTGTATCTTGCAAGAATGCAAGACAACTTCTCAATTAAACCTTTCATTCCATTCTGGTGGAATAACAGAAAGAGAGTAATACTGCGCTCAGAGTCAATGATCCAACATTGTTGTTGTTGTTAAAGGCTGTTACATAATCTCTGACCTATGGCAACCCTATGAATGAGTGCCTTCCAACATGCCCCATCCTTGAGAGCCCTGCAAGGAGTTGTAAACTAGATCAAGTTAGGCTTCTTTAAATTTTGAACACAATACATTGAGCAGCCTTGTATTTAAATGCTGACTACCATACATGCCAAGAAATTGCATGCAGGTAAGCGAGCCCCGCATTGAAACAATGTGGAAAAGAGTCTCTGTCTGTCCTTTGACAGCCCCAAGCAGGTTGACACAGAGGCATAGGACAAAGATACAAGTATAAGCTGTGTTTTCTTTCACTTTTGCAAATAATACTGCATTTTCTTTGCTCTAAAAAACTCATTGAATGTGTTATTTAAAAATGGGAGCAAAACTAGAAAGTCACAGCACTGAAACAATAAATGCCTCATGCAGAAAAGCTCCAAGTTGCCGAAGTGAAGCAGGTCAGGAAGTCTAGGTCTAGCTGGCGCTTCAACAATCCAGAGAAGTGGTCCCTTCTCCCCATAGAATGAATGAGCAATTTTGCCCATTTGCAGCATGGGGGAATATGGGGTGTTGCCACCCAGCTCTCACCTATAATACTGGGCTGCCTCTGATGTGAGCGATGCTGAGAGAATGGGTCTACTCACCTTCCTTCCATTGGTCCAAACAGTTTGCAACCCACTGGCTTAAACACTTTCCAGATCAACTAATTCTTTCAGCTCATTGCAGGAAAACACAAACACATGTGCGGTCATGAAAGAACTCAAGATTTCACATCAAGAAGGGGAAAAGTTTTTGAAGAAACAGTGAAAGCAAAACTGAGGGAACCATGACAGGCTGGAGCTCGTAGCCTCTCTCTCTCTGAAGTCAAACCTTGCAAACAATTGTACTAGGAAATGGAGCTAAACTATATAAAGGAGGGGAGGTGATGTGCTTGACACACTGTGCAACGCTGAAACCACTTTCATAAAGGCTTTTAGTACAAAAACCCAAACTCAAGCACAAAGATTACACCCATTAAAAATGGACAAGAGACATTGTGTGGCTCTCTCCTATTACTTAAACATACCTCAGACCTCACAAATCTTCCAGTAGCAGCCCACCAAAACCAAGAATGGGGAACTATGAGCTGGACTGAGGAGATAGAAATTCAGCGATGATCATGCATTTGCAGGACTCCAGTCTTGTTCAGTCTTACACCAGCATTCATGTCACACGGGACATTCTTAGCAGATACAAACTAGTAGTGTGCACCCTCAGAACTCACTTCATATGGCTGTTGCTGTCCCATGGCGAATGGTGTGGTTTAGGGTACAATCCTATGTCTGTTCCGACAGGAAAGTCCAAAACTTCCAGCTTCCTGCAGAGCTTTTTCAGACGTATGACTGTACCCTAAATATCACACTAGCAGTGTTGGCTCTGTTGACAGCTGTTGCTTTTGTTGGCAACATGTTCTATTCCAAATTTTATTTTCAAGGATTTATATCCCAGCTTCCAGCTTTATCAAGATCATTATGTTAAAATTTAAATTTAAAGGGTTTTTTAAAGGATTTGTAAACCCTTGAGGTCTGCTTGCAAGCCGACTGAGGGCTAAATTGCATGTTGTGCTGAGTAAGTAGTCATAGTCATCACTTTTGTTTTATCTTAGTGTAAGGACATGGAATAACCATGTCCCTGTCTTCCTACCCTGTCACTTTTTCCTCAAGCTGCCTCCCATATGAGGAGGCTAAAAACAGAAGGGGGGATTCAATTGGTACTAATAGACTTCCCCCTTTTTAGCCCCACAGTGGGGGAATTTAGGGCAACAGAGTTGAAAGGCAGGAGAGTTTAAACCCAGCCTAGCCATATGCCCAGTCTAAACCAGGGCCTGGGCACTTACACTATGATAAACAAAACAGTGAGGACTGGCAGCATATTATGTATTTAACATAGTGTAGAATTTAGCCCCCATTTGGAACAAGAACAACACCCATAAAAGAGGAACACAGGAAACTGCCCTCTTCTAGGTCAGCCTCCTCGTGCATTTAGCCCAGTGCTGTTTATCCTGCGTTTCAGCAGGTTTCAAGCAATCTTCCCCATCCCTTCCTAGCTCCTCCTTTTAATGGGAGACATCAGGATTCAAACCCAGGCCTTTTGCATGCACAGCCTGTGTTCTGCCCCTCAATCTGCCCCTTCCCCTAAAGCAGAGGGAAAGCACAGTAAAAACTGCAGCACATTGATTACTGTAGCAGTAATCAATAACAACACAGTAGCTTACAGAAAAGAAAAGAAAAGAAAAGAAAAGAAAAGAAAAGAAAAGAAAAGAAAAGAACTGCACCATGAAATCCTCCTTATAAGATAGGCCTGGAAAGTAAGGCAGAAGACTCCAGATTCAGCACCTGGAGAACATTATTAACAGGCTCCTACTTCAGTGCGGAATACACTTGTTTTGAAAGCACTGCACCTTTTCAACTCACCTGGCACCATCAAGACGGAAGGAGATGGACTCCTCTTCGTAAGATGGGTGCTGTTCTGGTGCCAGAGAATGTCAACTGGTTCGGGTGGACCCACTGCATGGCACGTGAGATTGAATGGTCTGTTTCGGGTGACATTCAGTCCCTGGGGCTGCTTGATGAAGTATGGCAGCCCTGCATGCAACAGAGGGGAGAAAAGCTCATTCAAAGACTAGAAAATGACAAAGGGAGGCACGCAGGGAATAATGCTGGGACTATAGCCCCCATCATCCCTAGCCACATGATGAGAGTTGTAGTCCAACCACCCAGAGAATGGTGGCTTAAAGCAAGAATGGACATTTTAGGTTTTCTTAGCAAGCCCATGCATGTTTAGACTGGCCAGAGAATGCTGGGAGTCAGAAGTCCTTTCTAGTCTAAACATGCATAGGAAAGTGTCCTTAGAGGAGTCAAGTTTTCCTATCAGATTAAGCCATGAATTGGGGCATTAGACCAATGAGAATTAGACCAGGAGCTGGATTAGACCAGTGAATACCCAAGCTGATAAACTAGTGATTCCCAAATCGAGTGCCAGAGGAGTGGCTGGTATGTGGCATATAAAATGAAGCTATCTTTTGTTTGATTTTAAAATTTATATCCTGCCTTTTTTCCTTCAAGAAACCCAAGGTGGCTTACAGACTCTTCCTTTTCCTCTCCATTTTATGGCCTTTGACTACTGAGTGGTATAAAAATGAAATAATGAATGAAATAAATTTATCCAAACATTCAGGCTTTGGAGCCAGCTAGCCTGACAGAGTGCCTGGCCCACAGTCACCCAGCTGGGGACTAGAACCTGGATTTCCTGAGCTTCCATCCAGCTCTGGAAGCACTATGCCACAATGGCCATGTGGAGTGAGACACACCCTGGAGAGGCACTGATTTCCCACCTCTGGCATCACATGGACATTGATATTGTCTCAAGCAAGGGTGGGAAATATGCAGCTCTCCAGGCGTGTGGAGACTACAGGTCCCGTCCATCCTAGCCAACGTAGCCAATGTCAGAGGAAGATGGGAAGTCAGAAGAGGATGCAGTGCTCACTGGGCTATGTAGCTCAAGTGAGGATACTTCAAGAAGCTCTGCAGGCAAGTACCTGCTTCATTTTTGTTCTGCAGGTTTTTCATCCATTTTTCTGCCTCTTGCTCTCATACCAAGATGCAAAACCACCCAAGCCAATTGTTCAGTGCCACTCCCTTGTACCAAGCAATTATTTCAAGTCTGAGCTTACCTTCCAACAAAATCAAAATAGGATCTGACACTATTTCCTTATTCTGGACTTTCAGTTTGCAGCTGTATGACCCATTATCAGAGCGCTGGAGTTTGATTATGCTACATGGGAAAAGAAAGAAAGACTTATAAGGGATAAAAAGTTACTATGCGACTTAGCCAAGAAGCAAGAACACAAAAATAATGCTGCAGTATTTTAAGGCTGGTCAAAAATAAATCTAGGATGAAGGCAATGATGGGAGCTGCATGAATGGAAAAATCCATGGGAATTTTATTGGCATTCTTAGCATGTAAGAATCCTCCCAGGCACTCAAGTAAAGAGGGAGCAGGGAGGGCTGTCTATGCATGCAGGAGCGGGACAGGTACACCCACACCCAGATCCCTGTCCCCAAACCAACTATGCATCCACCCTAGGCAAGGTTAGAAGTCCACTTGTGAATGACTCCTTAAAATCAGTGTGCAGTTGCTTGCTACTCAGTGGCTGCATGGCATCCAAAACTCTTTTAACAAGATAGCGATTTTGCCATGCAGCAGCTTCTGCAATTCCTGGATCTGCTCTCAGGGAAAATCACTAAGATCCATTTCCCACATTACACGAGAAGGAAAAGATGACTCATCGGACACACTGCTTTCTTCTTTGTGATGGTGACGTCGTTCTTAAGTCTTCTGCAGCATTAAAGTTCTAAACAGGTGGTTTTTCAGATAGTCCTGACATTACAAAATTTTTGATGGGCGGGGGGAGATTGTATGCAACTGAGTCCCCTCCACAGACACAGTGCTCTTTGATCCCATGGAGGTTTTCATGAGGGGAAAGATGGAAGAAATTATATCCCCCACTGATACCCCTTCCTTCTGCATTCCCTTATGCCTCTCTTCCCCACAAAACCTGCTCTAGGGAACTAGGGGTCCATTTGGAACATGACTGAATGCAACTCATTCATCTTTAAAATGGAATATGAATTGTTTACCTGAAAGTAGATATCATAGTAATGTCTTCGTGGTCATTAAATTGATAATACTGGCTGGCCAACCGATCAGCATCAAGGAGCTCCTTCCCATCCTTCCACAAGGAAATAAGTGCAGAGTCGTGGTTGATTAATGATTTATGAACGCTGATGGAGCAATTAAATTTAATGTCCATATGTTCAGCAATCTGTATAGTTCTTATAGTAGGATTAAACTTAATTGACTGAAGGAGCTGATCTGCATAACCTTCAGCAGAGGTGAGCATGCTGTCCTTCACAGTGCTGGAATTCACAGGGGGCACCGAAGTGTAGCTGATGTTGTTTATCTGGCCTGGAAAGGAACGGGGTGATCTGTGCACAGTCTTTGAGTCCCTGGAGGGTAAATTCGGTTTTGGGAATGCGAACAAGCCAGACCTCTTGGTTTCTTCAAAGGGAACTGCAAAGTGAAATGTAGCTTTGTCAGATTAAGGGCTTCTGTAACTACAGTCTCCAAGTGTTACAGAATTTCTCACCATCTTCAGCATTCCCCATCTAATGAATTTGTATTCATGCTCAAGACTCCCATTAATACAATCTAAAACAGGTACTTTTAAGGATACAAACAGCTGCCTTTACACAACATGGTTTACGTATTGTTTGCTGAACATTTTCTAAACTGAAATAAATATTTGCTCTGCAGATACACCATAAGGCATTAGCTGGGTGGGTGGAGTCATTATCTGTGCCACACTGGATCCTTCTTGCGCCATGGCTGCCTCTGGAGCAACTTACAGGAACTGCTGGTTGCCCCCACAGGGCACCTAAAGAAGCATGCAAGTCCTGGGGAAGTGGGTAGCTTTGGAAGGTGGTAGCAATGGCAGAAGCTTCGTCCACACACTGGCTAGCTGGCGACCCTTGCCGACATCAGCAGGCCATGCCAGAAGCTGCTTGTCAATCAGCAGCCACCATGGAAGAGAGGTGCCTCCTGCTTCCATTGCTGCTCAGCTACAAGAATGCCCCCTTTGACTGCTCTCCCCCCAGGGGCAGTGCTAGGTACCAAAAACGTCTGGGGCACAGGCCCATAGGACAAAAAATGCACAATTTTGCACAAGTTAATTTATATATCCTCCAATCTGTCTCTCCCTCCCTCCACCCCCACCTGTGTGTGTGTGTGTGCGCGCGCGCGTGCACGTGTGAGTCTTTAAAAGATTCTGTCTCCTAAAGACATCTCTCTTTGCATTTTGCTTACATAATCAAGCCCAGCAGAAAGGTTTCAGAGAGAAGCAAGACTCATGGGCAACAAGCCAACTAATCCAGGGAGACTGGAGGCTGCACATCATCAGGGGCTCTGAAGCTGTATCTCAGCAAGTGCCCATACATGGCAGGTTGGTGGGGCAGATGGCTGTCCAGAGGGCCAGGGCTCCAAATAAAAGATATGGGGCTCCAGCCCTAGTGGGATGCCCTCGGATACCAGCTCTGGATGCAGCGACTGAGCGTCCCCAGTAGCAAGCCAGATCAACAGCCCTTGCTGTTCAGGTAAGTATTTTGTCACTCCATATCAGCTCAGGGTATGAACACTGAATCAGCAGTAACTTAACAGAGGCCTTCTAAATTTTCAGGTGTCAGGAAAGGGTCATAGGTAAGGCTGGTATTTCCAATGTTTAGCCAGCTATTTTTGATCTTGGTCTTACAGGAAATTAAGGTTTTACAATTTCAGTTGAGAAAGAGACAACTAAAAAGTCTCTTCTTTCTTCCCCCATACCCTAACACTGCCATTCCATGCTTTATATCTGTTTTACACTTCTGGTATGCATTAGTGGATTCCTGGGATGGAGTCTGGAGGCCAAGCTCAGTTCCCAGAGGAACCAAAGAGACTCTACAGACAGGATGTGGAAGCTTTGAAGGTTCTCCATCCCTAAATAATTCGGCCCCCTGGTTGGATGGGAAGGGATCATGTGACAAATTCCCAGTGCACCTAACAGCCTTCGGGGCAATGTCCATCCCTTCAGGCTAAGCATGTGAGGACTCCTCTTTCTTGTTGCTCTCATCGCTGTGAAACCTGCCCTGTGTTTCACTGGTCCACCTATCATCTGGGAGTGGAGCCTGCCATGTGCAACAGCAATGGCTCTTGTAACTGTAATGCGAAAGGAGAGAGTGCCGAGAGAAGGCTGGTCCGGAAAGCTTCCCTGGTGTCCAGCTTTCTATGCAAAGGAAATGCTTTATTTATAGAGAAGCATTTAGTCATGCAAGCCTCCAGCTTGCAGCCTGAAGTGACATAACCCAGACACAGATTCACCACCACAGTGAGAACTGGGCTCTGACCTATACAGTATTATAGAATACATGAGTTTTAACAATATGATGTTACTGATACACAGAGATGGCTGCGTATAGAATCATAAAGTTGGAGGATTCCATTTGGACAAGATTTTCTCAACTGTAGGCTCTCTACATGTTTTACACTACAACATCAGTCAATGGTCAAGGTGATGGAAAATGTAGTTCAAAACAATTGCTTGAGGAAAGCTCCTATAGGACAAATGGTCCAGCCTCTGAGTTGATGCATGGCAGCAACATCTGGAGCATCCCCCAAAGGTTTCTGCACAGTTTTTGCTTGAAGACTGCTCCAGCTGAGGAGACCATCTCCTAACACTGCTCAGTGGTTCCATTCTCAAACTGCTGTTATTAAAATGAATCTCTTAATGTTCAATTGAAATCCATCTTCCCTTAACTTTAGCCCATTTGATCTAGTTCTATATTCTGGGCAGCAGAGAACAAATTTTGCCATCTACTGTTTGATAATCCTCCCGTATTTGAAGAATGCTCTCATATCCTCCTTCAGAAATCCCTTCTCCAAGCTAAATATACCTAGTTATGCTATCCCCAGCCTGATCTTCGAGATGTTTTGGACTATTATCTCCCAACATATCTGACCATTGGAAAATGTGGCTGGGGATGATGGAAGGTAAAGTACAAACAGCTGGAGGACACCAGTTTGGGGAAGCTCCTCTAACTTCTCTTTGTAGGGCTTGTTTGCCATCTTGATTAAAGAAGCAATGAATGCTTCCTAAATGAGCTTGAGAAATTTCCTAAAATGGATGCCTTTTAATTACTGTATTTTTCGCTCTGTAAGACGCGCCTGACCATAAGACGCACCTAGTGTTTAGAGGAGGAAAACAAGAAAAAAATATTCTGAATCAAACGGGCACATAATCACAGGCAAATTCCCCATCATTTCCCCATGGGCTGCACATTTGACAGACTTACTGTACACACATATTCGCTCTATAAGACGCACAGACACTTCCCCTTACTTTTGAGGGAGAAAAAAGTGCATCTTATAGAGCAAAATATATGGTATGTTAGTATGAAGAAGCGTTCTGTTTCTTCCCTCCCCAACCTCAGCTTGTCTGCTATAATCTGTTCAGAGAAAATGGCCTATTTATTTAACTATAAATAAATATACAATGAAAAATTGGCAGTGGCCCTTGGATGTTCCAGAATGCCCTTGAAATAGCACTAACATATAGATGCAGCACTGGGGTCCAGGCTAAGCATGTTGGATGCCTGCGGTCCACACCCCAGTAGGGGCCTATAATCAGAGCTCGGAGGAGGGCAACAAAGATGATCAGGGGACTGATAATAAAGCTATGAGGAAAGGATGAAAGAGCCAGGCACGTTTAACCATGAGAAGAGAAGATTGCTCCATTTAGACTTTCTCTTTCTTTTGCTACAGGAGGAGATATGATGGCACTATGCAAATACTTGAAAGGCTGTCACCCAGAGGAGAGCCAGGATCTCTTCTCCATCATCCCAGAGTGGGCTTAAGTTACAGGAAACCTGATTCCGGTGAGACATCAGGAAAAATTTCCTGGCTGTTAGAGCAGCGGGCAATGGAACCAATGGCCTAGGGAGGTCCTGGGCTCTCCCACACTGGGGGCATGCAAGAGGACAGCCACCTGTTAGGGATGTTGAGCTTCTGGTCCAGCATTGAGCAGGGGAGCTGCACTCCAAGGCCTTATAGCCCTCTTCCAATTCTACTGTTCTCTGATTCTATGATCAGCCATCTCCAGACTCTTCTCCATTTCAACCTGCTTCTTCACCTGCTTCTCACTTTGGTCCAGACAGCAGTGAAGGTGGTGAGGAGGAGCTGCAAAAGCAGCTGCCTTCTTGCTCCCTGGTTCTTGCCTCTCAGGCAGACAAAGGGTACCCATCATGAGAAGGGTGAGGAGCAAAACCAGCTGTAGACAATGGCTGTAAGATTCAGTTTGTGTGTGGGTATGTGGGTGAGGAAGAGAGAAAGCATATATACCAAATCAGCAAATACTATTCTCAGCAAAACAGAAATGCCACATGTCCAAAACAGCTTAAATATTAACTAGCATTTTGCTTGAAGTTTGCCATGCAGAACTGTGCAATGTGCCCATGTTGTTCAAAGCTGCTCAAGGATTTGGAGCCAGTGCTAAACAAAGGTTTAAGTGGCAAAAAACAACCCTGGTGCCATCGAGGCTGGATGGCGTCACTTGCAATGAAAACCAGTGTGAGTCACGCAAGGACCAGCTCAGCAGGTCTCAAGCAGCAAAAGAGCACTGAAGGAATAAAAAGAAGTGGGCTACAAGGGCCCCGTTTGTAGTATATATAGGGGAATGAAAATGAGCACTTACGAAATGGTCAGATCTTGTATGAATGCGTATGGCTGTTGAAAGTTAACAAAGGAAAAGCATCAAGGAAAAACAGAAAAAATATATCCTTGGCCAGAGGCACGGTTACAGGAGGTCAATTAAGGATGGAGTCCCAACTCTTTCATTTGTAGCCCCAAATTTTTGCAAGGCCCTCCAATCCACTGCCTGGCTCACCAGGGGCACTTGCTGAAATAAGGGCACATTCAGAAATCAAATGCAGTGCCCTCCTCTCTCCCATTTTACAAGGAAGGGTGCTTTTAGGAGACACGGTTCTAAGGCACACAATGTCAAACCCTAAATGACATATGCATTTTAATGTATTCGTTATTTTGTCCTATGGCTCGAAGCCCTGGATCTTTTTGATACCTTGCACCATTCCTGTCCAAGGCAGAATTAATGAACAATTAAGCCATTGCTCTGTTGAACTTAAGAGCAGGAAGATTCCCTTTACAAAACAGAAGAAAAGTCTCTCCACAAAGCAGTATATTATACTATGAGCATATGGACCTGGATTCACACAGGTTGGACTAGTCTCCAAGTTTGCTTGCCAGCTGTCAGAGTTGGACACACTAAGCTTATCCTGAGTATCGGCATGGCCAGTGGCATCTTTACTCTAGTTGCAGGCGCAAGAGAGTCATATAGAGTGGCAGCAATACTTTTTTTTCAATTTATAGCCTGCCTTTTTCCTACAAAGGGCTCAAGGCAGCTTACAACATTCTCCTCCTCCATCTTATTCCCACAACAACAATCCTGTGAGGTAGGTTGGGCTGAGAGT